CTGTTTGGTAATTAACGCGCCCTAGGCTTACGCTCCAGCTATTCAATTTTAGATAACATTTTAATATATTGGGAACATCAGATGCGGTTAAAATTAAACATAACGTCGCGATGGGAATACTAAATTATATTTTCAATTTACATATTCTATCTGCATGTTAATAGCTAATTAGTTTTCTTTTAAAATTAATACGTTTTCAATTAAATGCAACAAATACATAGTAAGATAATTTATAAAGACGAACAAAAACAATTTAATTGAGTAATTTATAAAATTACAATATCTATCCGTAACTACCTATGTCCGCGACTTTGTTCGCGTAGAATAGTAATTCTGGGAAGCCTAATTTGTTTTTGCCACTTAATAAATTTAAACTACCAACGATATTGGTTGCGTCCCATCGTCATTGCAAGTTAATCTTAAAAGATAGACTGTCATGTCATTTTGTAGATCATTTAAAGAGGAATCATTCTTTCATACATATTTTTTTCCCGATTTTTCCACATTTCCCCCTGTTTCTTCGCCCCCTATTAGTCTCAGCGCAATGTTTTAGCCTTAGCCTTCCTCGATAAATGCTCTAACCATCACAAAAGTAAAATTTTAAATTGGTACCAGTAGTTCCTGAGATTAGCGTGTTCAAACAAATTCGAAATCTGTACTCGAAATACTTGGAAATACTAATTTTAAATCAACCATCTTGTTAAGTAGTAATTGGGTCTTATATAGGTATTTTAATTTATTACCATGCTAAGTATATGCGAGTGACTTTTGACGTAGCATAATAAATAATTAATAATAAATTATTTAACTAGCAGAATGGCAACTCTAAATACAAAATACTAATTCGTCTCGCATTTAATGCAATGAAAAGACTATTTCTGAGCGACAACGTCGCAACGAGTAGCAATTTAATCAAAGTCCGCGAAGTGATTGTATTAAAAAGTAATTTGTTTTAGTTCACGCTGAAGACGTGGCATGCTGTTAATTACAGAACTAATTAAAAACGTCGATTGCTGTAATTAATCTCCTCGGGTAGACGTGATTGCACCTCGCCTGGTTTTAAATAAATATTCAGGTGGTCTCACACTTTATCTATTGGGTTGGAGCTTTAGGTTGTATATGGAAGCGGTTACGACAGCCTCACGCGCTTTGTTTGTTACTAAATGTAGCCTACAGTAACAACTATAAAACCAAACTTAATTTTTTGTGACTATGGATAGATTGGGTAAATACTGTCTATAGTTTACGCGAGTAGTACACATTTAAATAAAACACTTTAACGGTTTAAAACGCCATATATTAGTTAATCTTATTTGAAAATGATTTTTAATTTCGGCCCGACGTTTCGGATGCTTTGCAGCAGCTGTGGTCACGGGGAGACCGAAGTTAAGTTCCATAAGTAAATAAATTCGTTGTTTTCTTGAGCTATTGTTTTGTTGTGTAAGTCAAGTAGTTAAAAGTTTATTGAAAAATTTATAATAAAAAAACCTGAAAATATTGATGTATGTTTTTAAATTCTTTTGATTTAAATTTGTAATTCTGTAAAATATATTTCAGGTTTAAGTATATTTTAGGAAAAAGTGAGTAAAATATTAGACATAAATTAAGATGCTTTAAGTTATTTACATCAAATCAAAACACACACAAGAATACAAGAACATATATAATAAAATAGATGTATATGAAGGGACACCACTCAGCTTTGTACCTGGAAGTACAACGCCGATTTTCTGTCATGCCAGTATACAATATCTGATTCTTATTAACAGAAGACACTATACTAATATATAGAGCTTGAACAGCTTGTTTGTTAGTTTGTATGTTTGAATGCGCTAATCTTAGAAACTACGGGTTCTTAAAGGCTATAAGCCATAACACATTGCCCTGTGACTAATACAAGCGAGAAATGAACAAAAAAAGGTGAAAATAATTCATCATTATGGGTTTCTGACGCGTACGCTGCAAAAACAGCTCAAAATAACCAGAAAATGTATATTAAGGAATGATCCTCTTTAAATGATCTACAGAATATCCACGACGTATATGTCTATCTTTTAGGATCAACTTGCAAAAATGACGGGAATGGATGCGGCCAACATGTGGTATTTACTTTATAAAAGTGAAGGGCTTTGCAAAATCGATTTGGATCCCAAAATAACGATTCTCGCGGACGAAGTCGCTGACACAGCTAGTAGTAATAGGTACGTGCTTCTATTTCAAAATATATACATAGAGTCGATTAAAGGAACGTGGATAAAAGGCGACAAATTGACAGTAAATTGATTGAAAGTCGCCACTCCCTGCCTCAGTGGGCCACCGATCTAATTACGACTTCATCTCGACACCGAGCTTCGGCTTGTCACGTAATATTGCACGTATTTTAGAATGGCCGGGGGCTTTCATCAAAAAGCCCTGAAAACCCTATGAACGGCTGAAAAGCTTGATCGCGTTTTGGATTCCGAATATCTTAAACGAAAATAGGTCGATAAGATAGAAACGAAGATAGGCTTTTGTTTAGATGTTATGTGGCTGGAGAATTTTACTCACTGTGAAGTAAACCTCATACTTGCCTGTCCAATCATAAAAAAACATGTTCAGCAATTTTGGTATATTTCAATAAAACACTTTAACGGTTTAAAACGCGATATGTTAGTTAAACTTATTTGAAAATGATTTTTAACTTCGGCCCGACGTTTCGGATGCTTTGCAGCAATCGTGGTCATGGGAAGATTTCAAATAAGTTTAACTAATATATCGCGTTTTAAACCGTTAAAGTGTTTTATTTCAATGTGTATTACTCGCGTAAACTATAGACAGTATTTAATTTGGGTATAATTAAGATGGCAACTTTTCTTTCTTTCAATACAGCTATGTAAACAATCTTTTGACGAAGAAAATTTTGCAAAGGAGCACTCAAAATGTTTCACTGTTTACAAAAACTTTAGATTTTTATTTCTTATTTAATGAGAATCAAGTATATTATAAATTTTTGCTATAAGACAAAAATAACACCATAATACAAGATAAACTACTTTCATTCTTTTATAAAATACTAGGTAACTAAGGCTTCTAATAATAAGAATTTTAATTCAAATTAAACATTTTAAACGGGTTTAAATGCGAAATATTTAATTTATTTCTAATATATTTATTAACGAAGTTTTGCAGCAGCCGTAGTCGTGAATGTTTAGTTGTAGATAAAAAAACTCGTATGGAGATAACAATAAGGTACCTATTTTACGAGTAGTTACATAACAATTAAAATCTACTGTACATAGACAAATAATTCTCCTTCGTCAGTCTATGTTCACAAAGTCTCTTCTATAAGTAGAGCACTCTTTAAACAAATAGCATTATAAATGTAATGTTCGAGCGGAACTGAGTTTTTTACATCACAAGCTTGAATAGATAGAGGGTTGCCGCAGTTCGCCCATCAAATATGAAAAACCTGGACGGCGCTGCTCCACTATGGGACCATATTTAATAACCGCGCTACGTAAATGTAACGTACATTTTCATATTTCACGTTTTAAAAGTACACTGCGTAACACGGCTCGTGAATCATTTATCAATAGCTTATAAAAGCTCGCAACTACAAAGTACATACACGTATATTTTGAATTCGTTATTTTTTTAATGAAATGCTTTTAACGGTTTGAATCGCGAAATGTATCATTAATTTTAGTACTGCCCGACGTTTCGGATGCTTTGCAGCATGCGTGGTCACGTGGGTACTGAAGATGGCGAGTATTCCTAATATCAAAGTCAAATTTGCTACGCTAGCGCCATCTGTGTCGATGTAGTTTTAATTTGAAGAAACTAACTGGGTCCTCTCTTTTCGCGGTATGCTATTTTTGGGATGTAGGTTTATTTGCATTTGGCGTACACAATGTGTAGACGTTTATTTGAAATTTTCAGTTGTTATAAATTTTCTAATCTTGAAAATCAAATTTTAATCAAGCCCTTTAATTAAAGATATACGGTGGTATTAAAACTACGATCTTTAGTATTTAGGTAGTTCTATAAAACACAGACAGTGACATTAGGTATATATCTATCTTTTAATACTAATAAGAACCGAGAAGTTTTAGCTCTACTAAACAACAAATAATAATAAAACACATTAATTATTTACATAAAAGAGTTAGTGCAAAGGCGGCCTTATCGCCTATAGCGATTTCTTCCAGGCAACCTTTGTATAAAGAAAAGGAAAACAAAATAACAATAAATGAGTAAAAGCCAACGAGAATGAGAGAGAAAATGCAATAAATTGTAAAATACGATGATATCAAATACTAACACAACAAAGAACGTTAACACACTAAACAAAACGTGTGCCGGACCAGCTAATAAAATGAAATGCATATTAAAAACAGAACTAAAATATACGTTATCTCATTACTTTTTTAAACGCAAGTTAATATGCATTGCGAATAATACTATTATCTCAGTGTTATTTAGATTTTCAAAGGATTTATAGCTTGCAGTAGTTAGATGCGCTCCAAATAGCTAGACTCCTATCTATGAGCGTGACTTGTGGTGTGTTATTATCTGCGTCTGAATTTAATTTAAACTTAAAGCGATATCTCCGTCAAGTTATATTCCCCTATATTACAGTTTGTGTCTAGAATTTCTCTTATTAACATATACGTAAATGGGACATAACAAGAACGTTAGGTATTTCTTCTTGGAGACAAGTAATACTTAAACTACTCTCAATAGATGTCATAAACAACTTTGAAAAGATTTTTGATGTTAGTAAAAAATATAAAAAAAAAATATTTCAATTTACCTATTTTAGTAATAAATACCTAATATGATAGTTTTAAAGGACCCCAATTTATTGTAAGCCATTTTCGTGCCTCTTCTAGTTCTGTGTTTTTCCCCACGTAAGTATACAAGTCAAGTCAAGTCAATCCAAGGGCTGGGCTACGCAGACGACTTGAATCTAATCACGCATAACAAAATACAGCTACAAGAGTGTTTTAAGTCCCTCAGAAATGCAGCCGGGGGCTCCGTTCAGCAATGAAAACGTGTACTTCGAGAGATGTGAGGAGTTTATTTACCTTGGTTCAATGATGACAAGCGATAATAATCCCAGTAAAGAAATCGGCAGACGTGCTATCAATCATGCTAGCAAACTGTTGCTACTTTCGGGCTACTTTCGATCGCGACTATTCAAAAAGAACACCAAGCTTATCTTGTATAAAACCTTCTTGCGGCCTGTACTAACTAACGCCTCCGAAACCAGGGCACTAAGCAAAAGAGAGAAACGAGCTCTCCTAATCTTCGAGCGAAAGATTCTCAGAAGGATCTTTGGACCCATCTGCGTTGACGGTGTGTGGCGAGTCCGATATAACGAAGAGCTATACAACACTCTTGGCGACGCCAATATCGTCCAATTCCTTAAAAGCAACAGGCTTAAGTGGCTGGGACATGTACACAGAATGGCAGATGAAAGAGTAGCAAGGTCTTTGGTGAACTTGCAACCAGGTGGTAAACGAAAGCCCGGGAGACTGAGCCTCCGCTGGTGGGATGGAGTCGCCTGGGAATCTTGGGCGACCAAAACTGGAAGCAGGAAGCCCAAGACAGATCGCAACGGAGGAAACGACTAGAGGTGATGATGATGATGAAGTATAAAATTCGTCTTAAAGTAGTTTGCCAATGATATAAGTGTCTTCTTTTCAATATCAATTTTTACTGTTACATCGTTACTAAAAGTAACGTCTTTTTTGTCTTCATAAAATTAGTGATTATTTGTATTTTCATGTTATAGAGGAGGCGACACAACAAAAAAAGAAAAATACACTGTCTACCTATTTTAGCTTTTATCATTCGGTTTGTATTAAATAAGATCCTTACATTTTAATATGTTGATAAAAGTATTATGACTTACATGTATATGTAACAATTATGCAAACCTATTTTTTGTTATTACTCCCGACCTTCACAAAACATCCTCCCCTAATTCCACAAACCAAAAACATCTACATTTAATTATTTTGCGGAGAAAAGTAGCTCTGTCTCGTTACGTCAATCCAAAGCGGCATTTATGTGAATATCATGCCAAAGTCACATTATACGAGGAACTTATTTTACCGCTGTTTGATATTCCGTATATATCAGTGACTCGAGAAGATATCGGCACTGAGAGGATGAGAGATTCAAATATGATACAAATTCTATGTGACGTTAATTTCCCCTATACGTTTTTGGAAGGTACTTTGCAGGGCTGTGTATAATGTTATAGGATTATACCACTACAACAATTTTGTTTTAAAATCTAAAATAAATTTTAAAAAAAATCGACTTGGGCAGGACTTGAACCGGCAGTCAGCGTTCCGTGCAGTCGAGTAATATCTTATTATAGCAATAAAAGTTTTAAATTTGAATTTATTGAAAAAGGCTATAAAACATTAGGCTATTCCGTCATATCCGTTGTAATGTGTAGGGTTTTCGGTGTGTGCACCGCGAAAATGATACAAGATGATACCCAAAAATATCTATAAAAGAATTATTCTACATTATTAAATTATTATTATTATTGAAGTAGTCTCCCCGTGACCACGGCTGTTGCAAAGCATCCGAAACGTCGGGCCGAAGTTAAAAATCATTTTCAAATAAGTTTAACTAATATATCGCGTTTAAACCGATAAAGTGTTTTATTTAAATAAAGAATTATTCTTCTTTAAAAAAATGTTTTTAATAGACTATATCTATTTGTTAGAGAAACGTACATGAACCGTAGTAATAGGACAATATCAATATCATTTGATTCAGTTGTCATTGAACATATGTATGTTCAATAACTGAGTATGTAAAACACACATATCGCATTGTTACGGTCCTTCATTGTAGAATAGCTGAAAATTCGAGATAGTATAAGTAAGATCCAACAAAAACATTTCAATCACCGCCCCAGTCGTGAAGAGTAAAGCTTTCATTCTAGCAAGACCGAATCGTTTATGCAAACGGCTTTGAAAACCGTGTTTAAAATCCACTCGATTTGATTGTATTCTATTGAACCTTTTCCATTATTGTCGTTTTATGATTGAGATTATGCTCAACGTGAAAGTAGCCATAAATACAAATAACATTATATAATAAATTAAAATACTTCAAATAGATTTGGATGTTTGATTAAAATTGAGTTATTTTGCAAGTAAATTTTTGGTTTCGGATATTCGGAAATCCATATACCTTGACGCGATTACACTTCACGGCTTCTTCATTAGCGAATGGTGATTCATGAGACGGACAGAATTCTGATATTCCTACCACTCATTTAATATCCAGATTTTCAGACGAAATCCAACATGATTCAAAGAATCAGGCCCCTTAGTTAATAGCCGTAGATTGGTACAATTTGTCATTACAAAGTCTTTCACTCTGCTCTTGCCTCTTGCCTCTCAAGCTGGGAGAGAATTCCAAAAATATAGTTTGAAAGGGTTATTAACTTGTTGAAGACAATAAGTAACTACATAGTTGACATCTTAATATGTACATAAAATTATAGAAAAAGAATATTTATTGAATAAGAATTTAAATATAACAGACCTATTTTGCAAAAGCAATTGAGATAATCGAGTATGTTATCAACTCAACCCAAAAGTTTGGGTTCCGCAGCGATACTGATACTTTAGGACCACTTTCCATCAAACTGGATTTGAGGATAAAATTTACATACAAATGTTTTATGTACGATAATGTACTCAAAGTCGTTTGGGAGATTTCGTATCGAAACGGTTTCTCTTTTTTTGGGACTCCTTTTTAACAAAATATTTATTTTACTGTTAACTGTAAAGAGTGAAAAAACGGACTTTGGATTTTTTCTGTGTCGAATAAAGGTAATTAAAATTTGGTTAACTACTAACATAAAACACTTGTAACGGTTTAAAACAAGAAATATATTACTAAATTTAACTCTGACCCTACGTTTTCGATGTTTTGCAGCACATATAGTAAAATTAAATTGAACTTTAAATGAAAAGTAAACCAATAATAATATATATCAAGTTTCAAATAGTTAAAGTGTTTTATTTGAATATACGATTCTTGTTTACCTATTTATATATGATCATGTACATATTTGTATTAACTATTGATTTTTGGTAAACGAATCTTATAATATTATCCAAATACTTCGCTGTTCTGTGAAATTAATCTCATTCACTTAATCTAATTTTTCGGAACATCTAGTAGGCCCTCGTAGCACTTCGTAGCATCTCGTAGCAAAGCTAGACGCAACGCTACGAATCCGAGGACGTACTAACAATATTCTGTAATGTTGCGCTTACATTGTATTCTCGGATTCAAAGGACGGAGTGCTGTGTTGCTGCAGTGCGCCATTAGTAAAACAATTTTACAGCCTCCCACATGTTGCAGTTAATGCGATTCCGGTGTAATACAGCTCTTGGAATGTTCACAATACGCGTTTTACTAAAATGTCGTATCCTTTTACGAAAATAATATCACATTTTAAGCGCTTCATACTTTTGCAAACATTGAAATGGCGGTGCAATTACATTATAACAATGAAATAAATGGCATATGTGTGCTTAGGAACAAAATAAAATAATTATTAATGTGGCATTAAATAGTCATAAATCGTTTAGGTATTAGCAGTACGAATCGAAGGTTCTGGATATCTAAGTTTTTATTAACCATATTATGGGAGATAAAACCGGCATCCACAGCATTCTATGCACTAACCGGCAGCTGAAAGACTGTAGAAGCTAGTTGAAGACCCGCCCATGTCGTAATTATTTTTTCAAATTGAATAGATTTCAAATTTATATTATGTTATCAGGTATCAATAAGTGGGACATATGAATTAAATACAGTCTGAAGAGTACGTGAGTAGTACACATTAAAAAAACACTTTAACATTGATGTAACTCCATAACCACGGCTGCATCCGAAAGTCGGGCCGAAGTTAAAATAATCTCCAAATAAGTTAAACTAATATATATCGCGTTTGACACCGGTAAAATGTTTTATTAAAATAATAAATATATATATATATATATATATATATATATATATATATATATATATATATATATATATATATATATTTACTTCTTCCACGATTTTTCCGTAATCTGTGTATAGTTTTATAAACTTATATCCCTAAATATTGCTTTATACAAAAAATACAATATTAATAGCAAGATGTCAAATTTTAATTTCAAGAAAAGAGGACAAATTGATTTATACAGGGCATTGGCTAATTGCCCGTAAGTAAGTTCGATCAGAGTATTAGCCCCAAGTCCCAAGAGAGACGCTGGTTCCTACTGTGTCCAGATACATAGTTAATGCAGCCATTATCTTGTAAAGCTTCATTATGAAGCTAGACTGAGCTTAATAACCTCTTAATAGGATTAACAGGATCTGCCAGGTTAATTACTTTATGACATCTGTGTCTTTTGTCTATGTTCCCGACTAGACAAAGACATTATATCCTTCAGGATAATTACAATTCTAGTATCTGAAATATTGGAGTCTGTTAAGTAATATTAAAAGTCAGCCCGTTGTGTTTGACGTTTGTCTGCTATTCCTTTATTTAATAGTATATACTTTTTGTGTAAATTGTTTTTTTTAAAGATCGTGCGGGATTAATAAAACAGCTGTTAATATAAATAGATAATATAATTGTAAAAAAATTTGTATACATATTAGTATGTATAACAGAATTCGCTAAGTTGACTAGATATTCACTAAATATTTGGCAGTGTATTCCCTCAACTCCCCGAGTCTTGTGAACAACCTGCTGGCAAGGGAAACGAAATTTTTATTATGAAAAAGTTATATCGACTTATGTCAGAAATATTCTTTTTTATATGGGGCGTTGAACAGATGGTTCCCGACCTACACCCGACTGGTACCGTTCAGTGGTTGAACTCGTTCCTTATCGTTAAATAAAGTCGGAGAGGTCTTGGTTCAAGAACCGGGAAAAAATAATAATTTGTAAGACAGACACAGACGTCCGATCAACTACTTGCAAATAAACGATCGATCATTGAAACAGACGCAGTAATGTGTTCGCTTAATGACACACAAATTGAATTCAAATTTACACTTATAGTATTTTTTATTAATAGTAAACTTTTACCATGATCAGGGCAATAATGGCGCCTGCGCCGACGTCGTCGTTGTGCTTCATAAGCGTCGAGACACGTTTCTTCTGTAGAGATAAACATCTTTAGAGTAAATGCAATTTTACAATTGTAATTGTAACTTCTGACTGTACTCATATATTCATATTAAAAAGGGTTGAAGTTGGACCACTTGAATTTTGAAGTAAAAACTTGACTTAGTAGCGAAATGTCGGGCCGTTGTTAAAATAATTTGTGATTCAGATTTTATACCGTTAAAGTATTTTGTTGAACTTTCGTAAAGTTTAACCTTAGTAGTTTCAAAATGAAGAAGAAAATAGAGGGCAATATAAGGACATTATTATATGTATATTTATAAAAATAACCATCAGTGCTGTGTTGGTGCGCCGGCGGCGCTGCCTCGTCGTCATGTCTGGCAAGCGCACGCAATTGTAATGTATACGCTCTGGATCCAGGTCCAATACCTTCACCGCCAGCAAATGTCGCATATGGACTGATTTCATAGACATCTGTGAAATTTCCATTAGCTTTGTAAAATAAAAGTATTAAACTATAAAAATAAACATTAGGTTCTAACTCATCCCCTTGTGTCACTCCAACGCATTTAACCTATTTATGCATAAAATATTTTTTTTTAATATATAAATTGACACCATGAAATATATAGTGAAATGCAATTGGACTTAAAATTATTACGAATAAACTATCATTGGGCTGAAAATTTTATAAAATAGTAAATAAAATAATCTCGGTCTTTTATTTATTTCACTCAGAAGCTTTGGTTCAATCTTTTATGAATGAACATTTTTCTTTCGATGTATACCTAAGTTACATTTAGTACCAAACATAGCTTTAATATTTTATGCAAACCTGGTGGATCTGGCGGTAACTTTGGCGTAGAGTGGGGAGGTCGGTAGGTGCCGCAAGCAGCCTTGTCGCTCGTTGTCACCCGAGGCATTGCACCATCCGTTCTACATAAAGGATCGCTCTCGCATTACATTTTAATTAAAACGTTCTTCTTACTTGCGCGTTCAAATGAATTGTTGCTTTCACGTATAAATAAAACACCATAGCAATGGGTAATAATATATAAAGCTGAAGAGTTTGTTTGTTTGTTTGAACGGGCAAATCTTTTGCTTTGGTTAGAACATTTATCGAGGGCTAAGGTTAAGGCTTTAACACATAGAAGTGTATAGGAGCAAAAAAACGGCGGGTAGTGTGAAAGAACCGGTTTTCCGTTGCGTTCGCTACGAAAACGTGAAAGCTAATATTGGAAGTTGAAGATACCCAAAAAATATGTATGAAAGAATAAATTACCTTTAAATGATCTAAAAAAATGTCCGCGGCAGTATTATGTCTATCTTTTAAGATTACCTTGCAAGAACGACGAGACGTGGAGAACTTGGGTACTAGCTATTACATCTAAAGATGTTGAGAAGATTTTCAAAAACTAACTTTGATGCCTAAAATAACTATTCTACGCGGCCGAAGATATAAAAAACTATAAAAACTCATCACTGATAATAATTAAATTTTCCTATTAAGCCATTTAATTATTTTATTACTTTTATAATTAAATAAAAATGAATAATCTGACTGCGATCGATTTACGATTACTATATTCAGATCTGTCTGACATTTTTCATCATAAAATATATTAAGTTTGCAATATCGTCTCGTCAGCTTGAAAAATCCGAGCACAAACGTAAGGTGAGAAGGGTCAATGAAATCACATTGAATTGATAAAAGGGTCCTGTGTCAGCTCTTCGTCATTACCAGACTCCTATTTTATTTGAACGGAAATATGATCCGTAAACTTCCCGAGTTGGATTGATCTAATTAAGATATGTGATCTGAATCTTTTTTCCTACATTTAGTGCTAAATGGTGTTAGAACTCAATCTAATAAAAAAAGTATTCAATAATTAGAAAATCGAAAAAAATATTACGCCACCGGCAGGACTTCAACCGGCATCATCTGCGTTCCGTGCTGTTGATCTAACCAATTGAGCTACCCTGTCCTATACATCATCGTCGATTTTGTTCAAACTATTGATACATGCACCTCTGGCGAAATTTGATTAAATAAATATAATGAAAGTGTTAGAGCAAATATAGTTTCCCACATGTTGTGTCCTCTTATTTTTTATATTTATTTTAAGCATATTCCGAAATACAATTCTAGAACCTAAAACTTATATTTTATGAATATAAATAGCCCATATTTAATAAAAGTAAATTTTTCTAACCACTTTCATAAATATTCTAATAATAAATGATTCCTTGTTAGAAATATTCAATAAAATGTTATCATCCGGTGCGAAAGTAATATACTATTCCAATATTAGCTTTCACGAAACTCTTGCTTTGAAGATGTAATAAGTATCACAAAGAGACGGTGCGTTGCCATGGCAACGTCGAATGCTAAAGACGGTCCAATTAAATTGTGATATTTGCCTTAATTATTTGCACACGTGTATATTTACGATACGAGCAAATGTCTATAATAAGCTTATCCGCGATGTTTATGTTATTGAGCCCTATTTTATATAACTACATAGTTGTAAGTTTTACAGTCGACATTCATAACATTTAATAAATCAATTCCTATTATATATATTAGAGACAAAACTTCATAAAAATGTGTCTTTAGAGTATTAGATTTGTATTGTACAGATAAACTTGTTCTTGTATCTAACAAAAGATATTATTTAATATTTATTTTGACAAAGATATTGGGTACTTGTATTTATTTGGTGAATTATTTAAAAAATATCTCTCTTAGAGGCCATTGTTATACGCTGAATAATATAAAATTTAATTATGTGTTATCGTAGTCTCATTAGAATCTATGAATAAGGTTTAAAATTTAATATGTACAAAAATTAATGCGAACTCACCTCTTTCGTCGTAAGAGTATGGCGAGTATCGTAAGAGCTGCTACAGATAAAGCAGCACACAAAGCCAGAAGTAACGCTAACTCTCCGGCAGTGGCTGGAAAAGGGGCATCTACTTCTTCCGCATAGCCACCCTCAGCTGGACTTGTGGTGAATTCGTATACTTCTCGCGTCCACCCGGCCTCGTTTGATGCTCGAGCTGCGACGCGGTACCTCGAACCAGGGGTTAGGCCTAAAAAAATATGTTTAGCTTAACTACTGGTTTAAACTTCATTTCGTAAGCGAAACTTTATTTGCATGACAAGCTTGTATGTGCAGAATATATAAAAGCTAGTTTTTATGATTTTCCTTTGTATTATACTATTTTAGCCATGTCTGTAATCATTATAGCTTAGTTTTGTAGGCCTCTTAAATGATAATAGTAAATAAAAAACCTTTCCGAACAAAAACATCTTTAAAAACATATAAAGAACGAAGGCATCGAGATGAGTTTGGTTATTTTTGAGCTCATGGAAAAGAAACTACCCTCAATTAATTATAATTATAAATTTTCCAAAACTAATGTTTATTCATTAAGTTGCATCAATAATTAACTAACTAGATTTTAATTTTCTCTGTAAGTGAGAATGATAGTTATAAAATAAACAGTTATGTTCACTGTAGCTATAAGTGTAATTAAGTCAAACAAATATCAAGGAAAACTAACAGATTAATATGACACTGTGTTTATACTGAACCTTCTTATATTAAAAAATGGGCTGAGCAAATTATAAACTCTGACAATTGCTAAAAATGTATTTTAGATTATGTCATAGTCTACGTTACATTTACATTATAGTAATACCAAGAGAAACTTACCACCTAAAATTACTTCACCACCAACCGGGACATCCCTTGCACCAGCAACCCCAGATCCAGCCCATTCCAGTTTCAAAGCAACAGGACCACACCCACCATCGGACCACATGCTCGTATCGAACCTCGCATGAGTGGCGTTAGATCTTATCCACCTCGTATCTGGTGGGGCTACTGGTGGCCCACCAGATGTCCTAATAGATATTTCAGTACCGGGAGGTCCACCGGCCGAACCATATGCTCTGTATGCTGAACCGCACCGAAGACCAGAGAGTATAACAGGCCCGGGACTTGCTGATTGAATTCGCCATTCACCCTACAAAGTTGTTGTATAAGAATTCGTTAGGTTAGAAGTAATATAATATATAAAACACTTTTTTTTATTTACTAGTATACTTGAAGAATAATGTATAAATACCGTTAGTTTGCGCGAGTAGTACGCATTTAAATAAAACACTTTAACGGTTTAAAACGCGATATATATAAGCTGAACTTATTTAAAAATTATTTTAACCATGGCTGCTGCAAGGCATCCGAAACGTCGGGTCGGAGTTTTATTTAAAAGAATAATGTTTGTTTTCAAACTCCAATATACCTAAAAACCCGCATGGATATACTGTTGTCTAATTAGAGAAGTACGTACTTATCCCCGTATATAAAATATTTTGTGCCTCAAAACAAACGATTACAAGCATATGAAACAAAGATTTGATTATTTTAATTGGATATCGAAAAACCTATATTTGCTCTGATAAGACTTGCAAACGATAAATTTCGACTCGTTTAATAAAAAAAATAAATGTTTATTTTACGCAAATGAGAAGAAGGTAACAAAATTGAAAAAATATGTCAAGTAGAAAGGAATCTGAAACGAGGAAAAGATTAAAGCTAAAAATAATGATTTATTCCTTCCTTAACAAGATACTACACAAGGCATTCCTAAAAAGATTATTTAAATTGTCCTGTTTAAGTACACACAGCGAGATAACTAAATAATGGAGAAATTGGGCTGTGTTATGTAAATACGATTGTAACGTTAAGGAGATCTTTTGCTATTTCCTTTCTTTTGTTATTTAACTGAAATTTGTTGTATATTTAAATTTTATTTACTGATAACTTAAGTATGTAAGTAACGTCTGTTTAAGACAGCTATGTTTCACTAATAACTTTGAATTAAAATATTACATAATAAATTTATATTCTTCACCTCAGGCGCCGCTAATCTCCAGTGTAAAGTATACGCCTTAGGTAAAGCATGTCCTGGTACTCTTGGTGCTGCCCTGAGTTCCAGCTCCAGTTCCCTGGACCTAGCTTCAATAAGCGCTAGCCCTGGAGGCGTTGGAGGTCTCAACACAAACACGCGCCAAGTAACAGAATCCGAACCATGTGGGTTTTCAGCTACACATGTATAGTTATCCGCGTGTAAAAGCTCCAGACCTAAAATTATCTTGAGTTTAGATAAAAAAGTTAAAAAAAAAAGAAATCGGCTCGGGCAGGACTTGAACCGGCATCGTCAGCGTTCCGTGCGTACCAATTGAGCTACCGAGTTTCAATGTGCGATCAATCCAACGTGTAAGAATTATGAAAGTTTTGAATTTAAACAATGTTTTTTTTATCCGAATTGCGCATACATATTTTTTTATATAGAAGATGAAGTTCTCGAAACGAAAATAATCTAATAATGAAAATACGAGGCTTCATATTAATCTATAAACTTATTTTAGGGAACTTTGCTTTTACTTAATATATTATGAATAAGACTTTTGCCTTTGAAGTTTAGATATTAATAATCGAGGAACCCTTAAGAATACATTATATTGGCCTTAGTACTCCATGATATTTAAAAAAGAAAGTGAGTAAAAGCTTACTTCTTATCATCAACGCGTCACCATCCAAGTGAAAAGGTGATCGAATGTGTAATGGGCTCCCTGCTCGGAGCCAACGCTTAGAAGGTGGTGGAACTCCGCCCACCACACATCGAAGAGACAAGGAGCTACCTGCTGATCCGACTGCTGCTCCGCCAAATGACGATATTCGGGCAGGAGCTATTAAAAATGCATTATGTACATGTTATAGGTGCTAACCAGTTCCTTTACTTGAAACTGCCGCGTCTAGATAAAAGTGGAGTTTACTACTTGAACAGTGCGGACACTGGCAAGGAGAGGATACATCTATAGAGAGGACAATAACATAATTAGTACTGAAATTCAATTGTTATATATACAACAAATGATTTGCGTTAATTTCATGCATTATCCTTCATTAATAAATAAAACATAATAATAAAGTTTACTAACCTAACGCAGTTGTCTGACAGGCTACAACAGTGGACGTTGGGCCTTCTCCCGCGCCGGTAGCGGCTCGCACCCAAGCTTCGTACGTCCGTCCGGACCGGAGACCTCTCAGGGTCTTCATACATTCGACCGTTGTCCCTTCGCTTTCCGTACACGAGTTTACTCGTGTTACATTCGCTTCTTGGGACCTGAAAATATATACGTGAAATTTCGCGTTCTTCTCGCATTCAGAAGTCGTTTATTTTACAACTAGCACTAGCATACAACTACTACTAGCATATCTATACTAATACATAAAGCTGAAGATATGTTTGTTTGTTTGTATGAACGCGCTAATCTCAGGAACAACTGGTTTGAATTGAAACGTACTTTTGAGTTGGTTAGACATTTATCGAGAAAGGCTACAACGTTGCGCTGTGCGTACGCTGCGAAATAGGTTCAAGATACTCAAAAATATGTCTAAGAAAATTATACCTCTTAAATGATTTAAAAATGTCCGAGACACTATATGTCTATTTTTTAAGATTTACTTGCAAGAACTTAACAGCTTAAATTTGCAAAGATGAAAAATTTATATTCTACGCGGACGAAGTCGCTGACAAAGCTAGTTACTAATATAGTTTTAATACACCAATAATATTTCTCAGGAATTCGAATCGATCGATATAGCTAGTTAAAAGAAGAGTTAAAAACAAGTGCCTAGATATTTTAAATATTGGCAAAGCAGAATTATGTTCTGTTTTCATAGTCATGAAAATATTGTATCCAGCTTTTAATTACTTCACTTTGTTTAAATACGATACGCAGCGATGAACCGATATGGGATCAAAATATAAATTTATTTCATTAATATTGACTTAATTGTAGATTTTATGATGTTGGGTAGAAGTTTAAATGTATAAACTTATTTATCCTTGTTATAACTGTCATATAGGTAGTAGACTAATACCTATTTTTAAAAATATGAAGAAAATAAAAATTAAAGTGATACACGTAATATTAAATTTCGTAGGCATTATAAATCAATAATAATAAAATTATAAATACAAGCAAATCTACCGTTATTGAAAACTGACAAGCCCCTGTGGCCATGGCTGCTATAAAGCATCCAATACGTCGCGCCGTAGTTAAAATAAATTGTAAATAAGTTATTTAACAAATTTCGCGTTTTAAACCGTTAAAGTAGAGACAATACTTCATAGAAAATAGAAAAAAAAACATAACAAACAACTGTGTATTACATCTTAAATTGTTTTCTTTAAGTATAAAATATAATTAATTAGTTAAAGTAAAGATGATTTTTTACACAAAGTATTGTACTGTCTTACCCAGAGAGATCCTTTACATAGAGGGAATAGTGAGTCAAGCGTCCGTTCGGCTCAACTGGTGGAAGCCAAGACGCACGAAGAGACCGCTCGCTCAGAGCAATCAGCTTGATGCCACTCGGAGCACTTGGCACTGCGACAATAATCACACATTTGTATTGTCGTCGGATTTATCCCGAGATTATTATCGTTTATTTTGTGTTATTTTCTGATTAAAACTACATGTACTATCGTTTAATATTTACAATAAATAGATGGTTTGAAACGTGTATATTAGTTGAACACATTTGAAAATTATTTTATCTATGACCCGACGTTTCAAATGCTTTACTGATGTCGTGGTCATATTTTCAAATAACTAATATATATTATCGATTTAAACCGTTAAAGTGATTACTTTTAATAATAAAAAAATGGATACTAATTCATTAGGACTTACCATCTTCATCAGTCCTGCAAACTTGTGGTGGGGATAGAGGACCGTCACCTGCAGCATTGTGTGCGCGCACCCTTATGTCATATTCGGCATAAGGCGTAAGACGAGACACTGTCGTTTCTTCACCCTAATTAAGACACAGTAGACTAAACAAAGTAGATTTCGTCGAATAAATAATCTTTTATCTTATTCTTGTATTTGGTCTTTTCAATTCAATTTGATAGAGGTTTTATTTAAAAAGAATTGAATCGCTACATAATTTTAAACTTAATGTAAACGACGTATTCTTTGTCATTTAAGTTGTCTATTATTTCAACGTCATTATACAGTTTCTTTAAAAGTCTTACCTGCACCCGTAAATGTGCATCTTGAACCGGAACTAAAGGGTCCGCATCCCTTCTCGTATACTGAAGAGTATAGTGGGTTATAAGCCCCCCCTCTGTCGTCCGGCAAGGGGGGGGCGCCACGAAGCGCGCAGTGACGTGGAACCACTTGACACGCATGACAGACCTTCTGGACTTCCGCTGGGCGCTATTGACAAATTTGCTTGGTTATTGGATTGTGGTTGGATAAAACAGTAATAGTGTAAGAATTACTAAACTATAAATCAAGTAAAATGTCTGTTAATAATTGAAAAAATATGTAAATACACGAAACGGTTTGCTGATATGTGGATTTAAACTCTGGTCAGGTTTGGAATTCGGATCCCGCTCGTGCAAATTAACGGATAATAAAAGTATTGCCAATAATAAAAGTTTCTAAGATGGAAGTCAAGACATATTATGTAAGCTCAAAGACTTGTTGTAATTACAACTGTGTTAAATATATTAGATAGTTTTCCAGCGAAATATTATAACTATTTTGCTAGTAAATATCGTGATCACAAATAACTTCGCAAGAATTCAAGTCACGCTTGAAATCTGACATCTTCTCCAAGACGTTCCGTTTAAACTGAGCCAAAGTGGAAAATGGAGGGAACTATCAGTTACAAAGTAATTATGAAACTGTCCCGACCTTTAAGTATGGAGATGTTATGAAACTATTCTGAGAACTTGATGTCATTTTCTATCCTTTGCTGGGTGATTGATGAAAATATTATTGGATATCATTCTTAATTGAGCTAGCCCTATAGCTCATTTAGACATTGCAAATGTGATTACACTAGTCGGCTGTACTAATTTTACTGTTTTACAAATGGCGCCGCATTACATACAGTTATGTAAACGGTTGTGGGTAGAAATATGATAGGTTTTGACCTCAAACATATTTTAACAAGATTATGCTGTATTTAGTTGGATTACCGGACTACCTTTTAGAGAAACACAGTGTTGACTATTTTTGAGTAATCTACGCATCTTAGTAACGTGTGTTTTATTCCTTCACATACATATCAGAAAAAGTCCTAAACAGTCATTATTTTTTTTAATTCTAAATAGATTTAAATTAATAAAATTTAATTTAAGAGTTCTAGATGTATTTGAATTGAAATTCTTTTATTCAATCTAATTATGCATTAAAACAAAATGTATCGATGTCAAATATAATTTTGTATAAAAGACCAATTTAATGTTGAAAAATAAAAGTGCCATCAATTTGTTCCGAATCGTTTGACCTGGATCGAAAAAGCCACGGTCCAATTAAGCCATTTTGCATTTTGATAGGAAAATTTATGACGCACGTATCATGTCTCTGACGTAGATATATGGATTGGTGAGAAAATTAATTGCGTTTTTTTAACTTTGTGCATTCGTTGAAAACAATGCATAAAAGATAAGAATTGTGTATATTTATAATAGTGGAACTTTGGTTCAGACGTGTAACATAACATTATATTTTTTAACTTTTGAAAGAATTACGTTAAGCACAGAGTTCTAGGTTCATAACCAGGGAAAACAATGAGAGTTTTGGTCGGGGAACTTGCCTCTTTTTAATGCACTATAAATATTAAATGTATAAAACGAAGTGGTCTTAGACTATATTTTAATTCAGATTCAGAACTTCTACAAAAACATTACGGATATTCTCAGTCCAGCTTTGCATGTATATAATAGTACGGAATAATAAGGTATAAATAACTATTGCTCCGTATTTTTGCCTTGTTTGTAAATTCTAGTAAAGTGCATAAGTATAACTACCAAGAAATAAGTTTATTTAATCATTAAGTTTTAATTTTGTTATAATATAATTACTAAGCAAGAATGTACTTACGCGATTCTAAAGTATGTCGATAATGCGGTTGTGATGTTGGACCGTTCCCAGCTGCGTTGTACGCTCTGACCGTGACCCCGTAGCGGGTCGCGGGTTTGAGGCCGCGTAAAGTACTGCTCGTTGCGTCAGAGCTGGCTCCGCTCTCAGAACCGTTGTCAGTGGAACCTTTGCCCTCTTCGGCGGCTTCCCACCAGCGTATCGTGTAGCCTAGTAGGGTGCCGTGCCAGGTTTCTCGTGGTGGTGGCTTTTTAAATGTAACAATTGATTTTACAATTAAACATTTTTATAATGGACACTGAATGCCTACCTTGATTTTAAGATCCCGCTTAAGAACAGACTGTTTCGATTTTATTAATTTATTTAAGATTCTAAATGCGTAATAAACTTTTAAACCAAAAACAACCATATAAACTAACGACATGTCAGAATTATGAGTTATGAGTAAAGGTATGCACAACATGACTATGAAGAAATACAATATTAATATATGGAAGTAAATTAACAAAAACATAATAAGCAAAAAATTTATAGATTGTATTTCAACGATTACTTTTATATATGCTGCGTATAATATAACGTTGAAGTTTTAAGTTTTAAAAAATAATTTAAAACGTGTAACTATTAATGTATATAAAATTTGTTTCAAACCGGCTTATCTATGATATGTGTGATTATAAATATATATTAAAAACTGTTATAAATTCAAAAAATATACGACTCGGGCGTGATTCGAACCAGCGTCCTCAACGTTCCGTGACGGTAGCTCAAACCAATTGAGCTACCATGTCCTACGCGAAATTGTTTTCAACCAATTGATATTGCACCTCACGCGTGAATACTTCAACTTTAATACTTGCGTATTATTATTTTATTAAAATCGATTTTTAATTTAGGTATATAGTCCCCCCATGTAAAAAATATTAAAGTTTTCAAAATGTAAATATATATTGCAAATAAAGAAGCATAAAACGTTCATAGAATATTTGTATACATAAGAGATGGATCCTCAAGGGTAAATGTGCTAAGCGAGATTAAATATTAAATTACCATATTATACATACCTGCCAAGTGACAAGCAATTCTCTCGCGCGAAGTGCTCGAAGTGAGATATCGCGTGGCAACCCTCCGGGCGCTAAGGAGATTAAAATATTATTGTTACGTCGACACCTCCATTTACAACGGCGACCGATATTATACGTCTATAACTTAGAAAATACTGTTACAGGTGAACAAAGTCCAGGGCTCTAACTTGAATTACACAACGGGCGGTCTAATGGTTGCTATATATGGCTAGTAATCAACGGATCCGGGTTCGATCCCCACTGGATCCAAATGTTTCTAACTTTTCTGAAACATGTTGGTGCTGCAAATCTGGATGTTAAATGAGTGGTAGGAATATCGAAATTCCGTCCGGCTCACGAAGCACTGTCCACAGATAAAAAAGCCGTGTAGTTTAATCGCATTTCGGTTTTAGTCTGTGGATTTCTGAACATCGAAAGCAAAAATAGGTCAACAGCGAATATTCTGTAGGTGTTGTATGGCTGGGTTACCTTACATTAAGTAACCCCCATGCTTATCTGTCCTTCTTTATCATTAAAAAAAGTTTACCAGTGAATCTGTGGTGTGAACAATAAAAGTAACGTCATTGTCTTTGTCGTTACTACTCTTTAAAAAAAAATGATTTCAGTTTTGTATTGCCATTATAGTGTATGCCATACATGTGTAGCAATATATGAAAGGTACAATTGAAATATAATCAAAATTCTTATAAGGTTACCTGAGGCCTTTTAACTTATATTTTTAAGTTTAATTTTTTTTACTATATTATTATAATCCCTTCTACGTATCACTTAGCATGTAACAAAAAGTATGTATTTAATTTGCCGGTTAGCATAAACCGTAAGACGGTTTCTTTACCCGTTTAATTATTGTAAAACAAAATTATAATGTTAAAGAAGTTAAATAAAATAAATAAATAAATAAATAATTCAATGTAAATAAAAAAGACACTTTAACAGTTTAAAACGCGATATATATTAGTTATACTTATTTGAAAATTATTTCTAACTTCAGTCCGACGTTTATATCGCGTTTTAAACTGTTGAGGTGTTTTATTAAAATATGTACTACTCGATGTAAATTGTTAATGCACCGGAACAGACTAGCCGACATCCTAGTATGGGGGCTAGATGAATTGTGAACAATATTTTTTGGAAAATAAATAATTTGGAGTAAAGAATCAGTATTTGTATATATCATTTATAACACATTGGAAAGTGGTAGAAAATATGTTAAGGAAATAAATGATCGAAATACTTCTTGTATTAGTTATAAAAGAGTTCTTACTTAGACGCAGCAAAACTATTTGTATTATAAAAAGTTAAGTACGTAGTTACACTATAAATTGCCTACAAAGTGGCATGAGCTTAGCAACTTTTCAAGCTGCGCCACGTACAACTTCCGTAACAACTTTTCAAACGCATCTGTGTCTGAAAGTCTATAAAAAGTTCCTCAAATACATTTCCCCATTAAATTAGAATTTCTTTCCCCTTTCACGCTATAACAGCTTTAGAAGTTAATTATAGTAAGATTTTAAATATTTTTTCACCTTCTTTATGGTCTGAATCTAGTTAATTAGAGGGGAAATTCTATGAGATTTTCGTCTTGTAAGTTTTATTGCTTTGCCGGTAAATGACTATTCATTCCAAACCTAAATAAAGTGCATATTTTTATTGGTATTAAAGCAACTTCTTAAAATGTGTAGTATATAGAATTTAAATAAATTTAAATTTTAGAAGAGCGAAAAAATATTCATGACGTACGCTGTTAACTCAAAGTTAAATATTAATATTTCTCTGTTTCAGTCTATTCGCGTCCTACGTGGAGTAAAAAGGCGAAGTTTTATTGTTTGCTTTAGTACCGGTCTAAGCTCTCCACTTGTTGGCGTCGGGGAAGAAAAATAAAACCTCAACAAATCTGTTTACTTTCATCTCGACGGCGAGGCAAATGTAGATATAAATCTATGAAACGTCCTACATAGAAAACACTTTCACTCAATATAGCTAAGGTTTTAACTCTATTTATTTTCGTGAAACCGCTTCATCGATTTGTAGTAGATAATTCTTATAACTTTTATCACATAAATACATAAGTGCTTTCAATATATTGGCTAACTTATTTTTAATTAATTTAAACACGGTCTGACATATCCCCCGAGACCACGACTGCTGTATAGCAACAAAAAAGCCAGGTTGTAATTAAAATAATTAATTAAATATAAGTTAACTAATATATTGAATGTCTAGTGAATTATAAGTTTGCGTTTGAATAATTTAAGGTGTTTTACTACTCGCGTAAACTACAGACAGTACTACACAGGCGTATATTATCTCTATTATTAGCTGTTAGTAAACTAGATTATTTCCTCCTTTTGCAGAGTCTTTGTCTACTCTTAATTCGCATTGAAACATATGACTATGCGTTGAGGTGCTACGAGCCACGTAGCAGCTCTACGTAATGAGTTTTGTAGCCCCGGAACAGTTGATAAAGTTTTATTATGACCAGCCTTAAATGCGTAGAGGTGCTACGAGTCACGTAGCAGTACTACGTAAATGAGCTACGCAGGTGTTGTCTAGTTGGACGTACCTTCCTCTCTAGTAGTGAAGTGTAGAGGTGTAGTGAATGGGGAGGCTCCGACGTCGTTGTGGGCGGCTATTCGTAGCACGTACCGAGTGTCAGGATATAATCCGGACACTAATGCCCCAGCACGACTCGGCCCTTCCGATCTAAGTGTCATATCAACATACTTGGGCTTATATAGAGGAAAATGCTTAGCATTTAAATATACGATTTTAACTTTATTCCTATTATATGAGTATAGTATACATTACTATAGGATCTCTGAGATAATATTGTTTGGTATTTCAACAACTATTGCATATTCAGTATTTGATCATAAAGCTTTGATATCGAACTGTTTTAATGTGTAACTTTAATATGAGGCTACTAGAGGCAGAATAGTCTAATAAAAAACATGATTTTTAGTAAGGAGGAAAATAAATTATTTGTAGTCGTAATTGTAACTCATCTGTGGTCTTCTAGGTAACCATTTGTAGACTATGAAAACATAAATAACTCAAGTCATATAATTGCAGTTGGGCTACTCTTCCTAGCGGCCTCATGTGTTTTTGAAATGACATAAACAAAATACATTCTGTTTACACAGTTATATTTTAGATATGCACGAAGTACCCTTTAAGGTTTTATTTTTATATAAATATAATTTATTATACAAATGCAAAATTAACATTGTTTTTATTCATCAAGCAATAATTCTATTAATATTTCAAGCAGCAAAGCAAACAAAATGAAAAACGAATTAAATATTTATGTTAAGCGTACATCAGCGCCAGCAGCTCGAAAGCTACTTAAAATTAATAAATCACACATTCGTAATTGTACGTCGAGTTAACGAAAAGTTGCGAAATTTCGAAATCAGGACAGCCGTGACGGAAACATAAATATATTAGCGTTACGGAATTGAAATCCGCAGAGCATTATCATATTCATAAGCCTGAGCAAACTTACGCGACATGAAGCAAATCCGAATTAGATAGCGTGACGTTGAGAACTTCGAGCGAGTCCCATGTGTCTAGGGCGGGCAGCGGAGCGTTGAGCGGGGCGTTTGTGAGGTCGCGGGCGAGGGAGCGGTACTGCAGCGAGTAGTGGGAGACTATAGCTCCGCGGATGACCCGCCATGTGACGCGCGCTTTTCTTGACCAGACTTCGGAGATGCGGACTTCTTCGGGGACGCTTGGTCGCTCTACATTAAAGAAAGAGAAATGTTATAGTATAACAAGAAATGATTAAATAATGCCTATAAAGACGCGAGTAGTACATATTTAAATAAAACCATTTAGCGGATGATATAATTTACAAATTATTTGAACTGCGGCCCGACAATACATAGACCATGACTAAATAAGGGGGGGGGGGGGGGGGGGGGGAGGGGGGGGGAGAAAAAAAAAAAAAAAAAAAAAAAATAAAAAAGGGGGGGGGGGGGGGGGGGGGGGGGGGAGGGGGGGGGGGGGGGGGGGGGCCCCCCCCCCCCCCCCCCGGGGTTTTTTGGGTTTTTTTCTCGCCCCTTTTAACCCCGGGGCCCCCCCCCCCCCCCCCCCCCCCCCCCTTTGGGGGTGGTTTTTGGGGGTTAAAAACGAAAGGAAAAAAAAAAAAAAATTATGCTAAAAAAAAATCAAAAAATTACCAGAAATATTTAATTATCTTCTGGACTGAGTAATACATCGTTTATATTAACAAAGGGATTTACATATAAAATAAAAAGATGTCCGTAGCAATTACATCGCTCGGCGCTGTTTTATTATTCTGCAAACGTAAAAAGCACCTTTTTAGCTCTAGATTTCGCTACGAGGCAGTTGTGTAAAATTTAAGACCTTGTAATAAAAATTTCTCGTACTCAAGTTGTGTTTTAAATTATAACAAAACGCTTTGGCAAGTTCGATTTTCATTTGCTTATTATTTTTCATTCTGTTTCTTAATTTTAATGAATTTTAAAAGATCATTTTTTGCACATACTTTGTTCGATAAATACGTAATTTGTGATATTATTATAATTAGTTATATAGCATTTCACAATACCTCTCTTTACCTGGAAGACATTGCTTGTTAGCGATAAGGCCGTCTATTGCACTACATATATTTTGTAAATAAGTTAAGCTAACATATCGCGTTTTGAACCGTTAAAAGTATTTTATGTAAGTATTAAATGTATACTACTAGTGTAAAATACAGACTGTATATACTTTCGTTTGTGAAATAATAATTCATAAAATAATAATATATATAAAAGAGAACTTCATACCTTTAACAAAAAGCCGAAACACCAGTTCATCAGTGCCATATAAGTTCCTCGCCAAGCACCGATAGTCTCCAGCATGTTCTGGACCAGCGTGGGTAATCGTGATTTCAGATAGCATGGCCCCATTTCCCATGTCACGCATCTCGACACCACCAGAACCACTAAACAGAAAGCATATTATATAGGTAGGTTTAATAAGTAACATTAGTGTTTATTTTTTATAACTGACTACAGTTCTTGTGTTTCAGTCAAGAAACGAAACAAGCCATTTTAATAAGCCTTTATAATGAAACTTATTAAAATTACCACCGTTATACTCGTATATCGATATTCAAGTACAAATGAATCATTTCACAAGCTCGTTTGTGTAATGGTGTGTAATATATGGCTCAACGGGTCTTGGGTTCCATCCCCACCGGGTTCCTAAACCAATTTATAATTTTTATGAAATATGCTGAACATCGTCTGAAAAACTGGATATTAAATGGGCGATCTGGACGGAATTTTGTGTGGGTGTGAGAGAGAGTGTGTGGAATGTTGAGTGTTCGTACACCGTCCACAGATGAAAAGCAATGAAGTGAAGTTTAATCACGTTTCTGTTTCTGTAAATTTCCGAATATCCAAAACCAAAATGGGTTGACAACGCACCTTGTTTAGATGTAATATGGCTGGGGTATTTTAATAACCTCATGCTTATCTGTGCTGCTCTATCATAAAAAAAAACAAATAAGTATACAGCAATACATTGTTGTTAAAAAGTGGAAAATACTTTTTTTATTTTTTCGTCGTCTAAGTAAAATATGTTTTAATCTTTATTAACTGTCTTAATGTCAGACCATAATATTGATTATATTTAAATTATAATATTTTAAAATACATCGATACGATGTAGTGGCAGATGTTTCATAAGGTACGCATAACGAAATTAAAATTAAGGTTAAACTGGGAGAAGCACCTGCGACTAGTTTAAATATTTCAAAGCTCCGTCCAAGCTAAGGTTATCTAGAAATTAGGTCATATCCGCTGCCTGACACTAAACCTCTTAACCACTAAATTCGTCTCCAGTATAATATGAATATCATAGATGGTAGAGAGAAGTTTTGATAGACCTGTTCTTATAATAACATCCTATAATGAAGATGAACTGAAAAGCGCAAGGTGAAATTACAAAGTAAATTATTTTAATAGCGATATTATTATTCATACTACTGTATAAACGTATTGTTTAAGCGGAGGGGCCACTGAAAATCAGTGTTGCAATACAGACGTGTTCGTAACGTTATTTTGTGAGGCTTCAGTTTTAGGAGTTAAAATTGTTTGATTACAGAATATACCTAATGCGTTAGAATTATTACATGATTGATTAAATATTTTCAACAAATAACATATCTCTAAGTTTTGTCAATTCAGCCAAGCCGCACGTGGAAAGGTCGATCCCCTCCTGCAGCTTGCTGATAACCTGCATAGCACGAACAAGAGGGAATTTCAGCTGCAAGTTGGTGCATACGTAACAGCTCAAGTAACGGTGGTCGTAATCGCCTACACACGTATAGGTACGGAACAGACAAGGTTTTGTCTAAGTATAGGTAAGTTAGTTAATAACTACGTTAGTTTTTGATTGCAACTTTTATAATGATTTTTAGTAAATAATTATATAAATAAATTAATACAATTGAATTGATAGCTTAGTTTATTATAATGTTAAGTAACTTCGAGAATTTTATTCGAAGTATGTAATAAGAAATGTAATAACTTACACTTAATTGTGTTTTGTAATAATTAACAGTTTGTCATCCTGTACTCCATCGTTTAATAAATAAAGAATTCATTTTTTTATATATAATAAATTTATTTGTGTATTGTATACTACAGACAAATATTTCTTTAACACTCGACAAATACAAGGAAAAACTACGCTGTTCAGAAAACCGTATTACTTATACGCAGTAGAGACAATTAACAAGCAATACGGCAAAATAAACTTTTCTCGCTCAGCTAAAACAAATTCCACACCTTAACCGCATTGTTATTTTTGTAGCTTTTCAGTGCTTAGTGAAAAGCTGGTGCTTTGACTATAAACCGCTTGTTTATTTACAATTGAAGATGGGAATGTACTGTTAGTTTACGATTTATTCGGTAGATTAATTAATAAAACTGAATAAGGGTAGCTGGTTTAAAAATTATAACAAATAGCCTCGCATTTTAGTTTAGATTTGTAATAAGATGATAAGATGTCTTGATACGTGATAATAGACATGTCGTTAGACAAATTAACTGTCTTTGGCCATCTCTTTGTCTTATTAATACGATTTCATGTACCTCTGAAAATGTTTGGTCAAATACTAATATGCCTCATATTAGTATTTCTAGAGACAGAGTGGCCTAATAACAAAAATTATGATTTCCAATAAGGAGGAAAATAAAAGTGCGCATATAATTGTTTTCGGGTTGTTCGGCGGACGTGAGCGAGAAGAGGTTCTCGGTTTTTCGCCATCACGTGCGGACGGCATCATCAGGAGATGTTAACTACTCCATTGACAATTCAATTCAACGAAAGATTATTTAAACCATTTTCGGTCACTGAGCTCTTGTAGATTACAATTTTGAGACTATAAAAATAAGAATAAATCAATTCATAAAATTGCAGTGAGATTACTTTGCCTCTATCGGCCTCATAATAAATCAGCTCTCAGAAAAACATAGATGACAGAAAAGTTATGTAATGATATCGAATACGTAAAACACATATATATTCTATATTTGAAGTCATTTGCCTTGTAAACAGTAACATCGTAACATTTTGTACTTACTGCAGAGCAAGCGGTCTCGAGTCGTGCGTCCAATGTACATGTATTTCCGGTTCTCCTCTCACGGTACAAGTGAGTCTGGCCGGTGTACCACGTACCACCCACTGAGTTTCACCGACACCACCGCCGCGACTTAGTTTTGGGGGTTCTGATATAGCAAAAAGCTTTTATTCTACACCTACTTTGTATATCTGATTGTGCATTAAAATTTTTACAATGTACTAATTTAGATTTGTAAAGCTTTATAATAACTTATTAATAAAAATTAATTTTAGATTTAAAAACGATCGGCGACACGGGCAGGACTTGAGAACTAGAACTCGCATCCACAATGCTTCGTGCTGTTGCTCTAACCAATTGAATCACCATGTGTAGGACATGGTGATTCAACAAAGAAATCGACATCATCGTCGATTTTTTTTTCAACCTATTGCTACACGCACATCTCGTGCAATGTAATTTCACTCTTAAAACTTGCACTTTAAGGTTGATTACATTACATCCAAAATCATATTTTATTATGTAGGTGATTTTTTTAAATTACCTCTGACGTCCAAATAGAACATATGGTGTAAGAACGAATGCTGTACTCTTGCCGTGCATCTATACCAGCCCTCGTGTTCCGGAGTGGCCGCGCGCAGCCAAACCGTGCCGTCAGAGAGAATGGAACCTTCGTTTACATCGGCGGACTCGGACTGGCCCCAAAGGATGTGACGCCAATTTTCACCTTCTGTGTCATAGAAGTTTCTAATTTAATAGTTCTTCCCGTCTATAAATTGAACTATCGCGAGAAAGATGATTTGGTAGTAATCTGCGAGATTGCCATATAATAAAAAGTTACATGTTCATTCGACTTTCAAATAAAGTTTTTCATTAATAATAAGTTTGTTAAAATTTTGTTCCGAGGATTTTGTTGTCAGTGAGCAAGGTAAAAAGTTTAATGACTTTAAGTACGTAAAAATATTTCATAAATAAAATTACGAAGCTTATGTGTATTTCAGTTGAAATACAAATTAAAGATACTTTTAATTACATTTTAAATACAGCATGATTAAAAGAGAACCTGTACGATATAAGGAAGGGTCTTACAAGATAATATATATAAATTATTTTACCTGTAGAAAACTCCCAAGATATTCTGGGAAGAGGTTGTCCCTTTGCTGAACATGGCAATAGTACAGCTGCACCGGCAGACACAGATGTATTCTGTGCACGCCACACCCATAGTGGAGCCTCTGTATAGAGACTGTTTTGTTTATCATCTTTTTCTTATAAACCTCAAGTTACCTATACAAATCATAACGCGAAACATAAGAAGAGATAAAAGAATTTGACGAAACACCTACCTTTGACAATGAGAGAAGCAGAGTGACTGACGGTACCAAAGTCATTGCTGGCGCGACAAGAATATTCACCGCTATGGATGGAACTTAAATCCTGTATCACTAATATTGTGAAAAAGTCCATATTCTTCTGCTCGACCTAGTAAAACAGGAATTCCCTCAATCACATAAAAACAGGAATTCCCTTTGAAAACTTTAATATTTTTCACATGACACTAAATAAACTAATTCTAGAATAAAACATTTTTTACGATACGGGCAGGACGAAATCCACATCGTTCGGTACTGTTTTTCTAATCAATTGAGCTACCGTGTCAGAAATTCCCTTTTTTTGTTTATGTATTCACACTTACTTTTAATACAGATGGAATTGGCAAGTTATCCTTATGCCATGTAAATTGTATAGGTTTATCTCCAGATATTAAACTGCACGTTGCCTGGGTACTTCCACCCACCTCTAATTCTTCGGGAAACTGAAATGGTGCTATTTTCGGTGGCTCTGTGGAAGATTTATAATTTTGTATGATGTGGACACGAATTAAGTTTCTATAGAATTGAATATACCCACTGTGAACTTCAATGCGAACGGTCCTTCTTGCTAGTTCTCCACTTTCAGCTTTTACTTCACAAGTGTAACCGCCCGCTGCGGCACTCCTGACAGAAGTTAAACGTAGTATGCCACGCTCCTCACCAGAATCGAGTGGTGACTCAACGATAGATCCATCTTCCCGCCTCCATAAAACTTCCCTAAAATTATGATGCGTACATAGAATTCTTTAATAAAGTTCAATTATTACAACATCTAATGCAGCATCAAATTTAATGTTCTATTTATACGCATATGTTAGAAATTCTGGTTATCATTTATTTAACTTACTTGACAGGATATCCAGAATAAGGACAATTTATTGTGACATCTGCTTCCACTTTGACATGAATCGGTGGTAGATACCTTATGTTTGGAGGACCTAAAAGATACACTCATTTATAATATGTACTTTATAAAATAAGTCAGTATAGATAAATCTCGTTTACCAAAAACGTTTAGTCTAGCGTGGTGCCCTTGGGAGCCACCAGAATTCGTTGCGTTACATCCATAGCGACCTCCTTCGTCAGCTGTTCGAATATTAATGTTCAATGTTGAAATTATACTGCCCTCTTCACTTCCAGGTATAGACTCAGCTCTTGTATTTACTGTGTATCTAAAAACAAGAGTATTAATATTTAAATGTTACGAAAGTCTATGTGTAAATACGGTTCAAAACGCGATATGTTTTAGTTATACTAGTTTGTGAATTATTTTTAACTACGTCCCGATGCTTTGCAGCAGCCATGGTCACGGCGCTTCCCCGTTTTTAAACCGTTAAAGTGTTTTATTTAAATGTGTACTACTCGCGTAAACTATAGACAGTATTAAATTACTCACTTTTCTGGTGCCGATGGAAGCGGTCTGTCATCTAACGTCCACACGATTCTTGGAGGCGGAATACCTGTAGCTGCGCACCTAAAAGCTATACTCTGGCCAACACGTGTTATAGCTTCACTAAATGTTGTTACCAGCCGTGGCGGTCTGTCTAAAACGTGGTGGATACCATCATTTATAGGTATTAAAACTTTTAAAAGCAAAATATTCATTAGGCTTTCGTTCGTCGTTTCGATTGCCTTTTGTATTTTTAAAATATTTATTTTATTTGATTAATACAGTAATTAAAAACCTATTTTTATTATTCTTATTCTGTTCTGTGTAAAATATTACCAGCGATAATGAGTTCAGCCCCAGAAACTGCCGAGTCAGAGTGATCATAGGCCGTGCATTGATAAAGGCCCGCGTGATGTGACCTGACAGGGCCCAATGTTAGTTTGGCTTGAGGTGAATGTAGGGGTCTGCCTTCGTGTTGCCAGCTTATAGTGACGCCACCACCTCTTCCACCAGATACTGAGCAGTTAAACGTACCGGATCCACCTGTTCCTAGCATCTGAAAAGTGCTCTCAATCAGTTTCCTTTTCCTTTGTAAAAAGGTTTATTTTAAACTCATTTCAAAAAGTACTTTGTCTCTTTCTCTCAATTACTTTACTAGACCATTAAGAAGATTACATAATTACCTTCAACTATTATTTTGTAATCGTTACATTAATCTATTAAATACAATTTTAATTGATAAATTGGTAGGAAATGCTTAGAAACAAAATATTAATACATGCTAAACCCACCAATGGAATCAACGACTAACGCCACATATTTTTACCTATAAATTTGTTCACATTCAAACTTACCAAGGGATTCGGTGTTACAGTAACGGTGAGTGGTTCATACACCACCAGTCTCACTATCAAACGAGGAGTCGCTTCAGATCCAGGTGAACAGGCATATCTCACGGCGTGTTGTGATCGGATGTTTGGTATCACCAGCGCACCACTCCGAACAACCCCTTCGCCTGAAGCTGTCACCCACACCCCGCTTGTGTCTTGCCGTTGCCACCTATAAGCATACAAGTTTCTCTTTCTACTTCGTTTAGTATGTGGTCACTAGAGCCAGAGTAGTCTAACTCAAATTTTATGACTTGACTTATTTTATTTATGTTTCTTATGTATGATGCAGTGACCGTAAATTGTTAAAATAATTGTTACTCATATATCATCAATAGTAAATAATAATTTTCGTCCAAGTTTGCTCGTTTTTATTTTCCTTCTTATTGAATATCATGTTTTTTGTTAGTAGGCCACTCTGGCTCTAGCGGCGTCAAATGATGGCGATCTTTATCCGTTGGACACATTTGTATGTCCGGTTGAGTCATACATTTATCGAGTCAAGGCATTATTTAAAAAATAAAATAAAATATACTTTATTCTGTTTAAAATTTTAAAAATTATTTAGATTCGTAAAAAAAATTTTTGTCTGTTTGTCGTGTCGTGATTCTACAGAGTGAGTCATGAGGTAAATAGGTTCCGTCTTTGTTATAGATCAATATTTCAGCACGGAATTGATTCGACCTAATTTTTTATTGTTTACCGGAAGTTCAAGCTCTTGAACCATTGAACCACAAAGGCACTAGTCCTATATACTAAGGATAACAAGTGATAGTAATAGTTAGTACAATTGAAGTTTTTAATATATTTTAGATGCTGGCATTATATAAATTAAAAATCAATTTACATTGCATTTTTTGTCTGTGGATATATCGGTTCAAGCCCGCCATTGTCATTACATTTTTAATTTATACAATTTGACTTGTTTTTTTTAGGAATAGGTCTTATCTTAAACAGTCATACTTACGTAATAGTATGTCGGTTAATATGTCTCAATACGCAAGGAAGAATGACTGTGTCTCCCATGCGAGCCTCAATAGAGTTTACTTCTAAACTTTCCAACCAACTGCTCTCTGAAGCAATTTAAATTTTATTTAAGAAAATACATCAAGGAACATGCAAGGAAATTTTAAGATATAACGAAAAAAGTGAATTTTTAATGGTTTATGTGAAATTTTCAGTTTTTCACTGACATGATAAAAACTGCAGCTATCTTCTCTAATATACACTAGTATTTTTTTATTATACGCTTACTTATTCTGGCTCTTTGGAAAGTAAATTGGAAAAAAAAAACTGTTAGTAATTGACGTGATTATGTGAAAACACAAATCGACCTTAAAATAACATAAATGTAATGTTGATATTATGAAAAATTATATCCGTTCTCGATATTTATAATATATCGGTTTCAACCACGATATAATACGAATCTATAACCAAATATTACAGATTATATACTACCCCATTTCTTATGTCAATTGTCAATTTTTAACCACAAACACATCCATAGATTAAAACATATGGAATAATTGCTGAATAGATAACGATATTGTACCATCTGTGGTAAGCTTCAATACTGCGCTGGGTGTGTCGATAGCTATACATGAATAATCTGCTTCTATATCCGCTTGCGTTAAATCTGATCCTAACAATAATCCTCCTGCACCAGAAATCCATCGGGTATCTAAAATTACAATTATGAAATAGAATATAAAACAAATAAATTGTACTTATTAGAATTACTTTATTTGTATACTTGGCGTATATTTTACCATTTAATAGAATGTTGCTTGGTAGGTTCTTTCCATATTTGCAAAACTTCACTAAGATCGGCTTAGTAGTTTAGGCATCAGAATTTTTTAGAGACCATTTAATGAAGCATAATCATTGAAAACTGGGAAGTGAAGTGTCGATTTTTGTTTTTGTAAATAAATTTAATAGCACACAAATGTAATGCACACGATTGATTTATTTTTTTGGGATAAGACTAGCGCCATCCTGGCACATAATATATAGAAAAATGGTGGCCATGTGATATATACCTAACATGTTAATAAAAAAAGAACATTACGCTACTAGTCTCGGTGATCATCAGTGGTGGTAGTCTTTAAGTGGTGGTAACCCTCACTAGAGCAGTGTGGAAACTTTCATAAGGCATAAAACTTGTACCATTAAAGGCATAGTGTGATAACAAACATGTTCTATCATACCTGTTCCCATATATCCTGTCGTGAGTGGAAGACCATCTTGCATCCATTTTATCTCAGTAAAACCTATTTGGGGCGAAATATCGCAACGCAAAACAACGGAACCCCCCAACTTCGCCGGAGTCAGCTGCTTAACGGAGTTCGCGAGGATGTTGTCGTCCACTGGCGACAAATATTTGATTAAACTTTAGACAAAAAGAGTATGTTATAAGAATCTTAAAATTTGATGTCACGAACCACCGTCTTATAAAGCCTATAAAGAATTTAAAATTGAAACTAGGCTAAATCAATTCCTTCAGATTAAGTGAAGTGTAGTATTGTACTCGTATCGTTTCTAAGTAGTTCGATAGCAAAATATTGTTAGTAAGAAATCATTAACAACAAACACACAACTAAGTTATCTCATTGTGGAACCGAACAAAGGCCGATATAAATTCGTCCTTTTCATCTTTTTTGTCTGCAAGTAAACAAATGACAATAAATCAATTGTGACAGAGGTTGTTTTGTCTGGGAAGCCTCATTATTGTCGTCGCCCAATTACGAATACTTGTTTACTGTGTTTTTTACGCCAATTAAAATTTTGCGCAAATAATATTCAATTCATTGCTGTGTCATTGTAATTGGCATATTTATTCGACTGCGAAAGAGTAAATTTATATTGAACATAGACATTTATAACTTCTCCTTGCAGTCCATATAGATATAGATGAATGAAATGATGATGAGTAGAACTAACTACTCCAGTGGGAACCAACTAATAAGAGTAATATTAAAATCTAGAAATAAAATAAAGAGTAAATACTAGTGTCCATTTTCTGAATGTGGTCACAGTAAAAAATAATTTATCATCTATATTACTCAATTTCAACCGATTAAATTGATATATTATTTAAAATCTACAATTTACCTACCGAAGATATGTACTGTCTATAGTTTATGCGAGTAGACAAAAAAAAAAAAAAGGGGATATATTAGTTAAACTTATTTTGGAAATGATTTTTGACTTCGGCCCGACGTTTCGGATGCTTTGCAGCAGTCTCCCCGTACCAGCTGAAGATACGGCTTTATTTATTTACTAATATTTGTTAAACGTTGTGTTTATTTAAATACCGGATATGTACAAAGATACGTTTTTTTATTTATTTGTTAACTGTTTACTGAATACACAAGAATACAAAAAGTCGTTAATGCGAATGGACTACATTACACATACTAATCGCTTACAAAAATATTTCCCAACTAGTTTAAAGCATGAATTACGTTTATACGTAACGTAAATATCAGATTTTGTTTACATATTTATTATATATTCCTTTCAACGTATCAAAGAAGTTGTTACTTACGTTTGTAGTGGTGTAATGTGTGCTCAGTGAAAAGAAAAATCGAAAAAATTGGTTTCTCTTTCAATACTGACATTTGACTTACCGATTATATAAAAGTCAAGGTACTAGAGCTTATTTAAGTTTTATATTTTAGACATTCAAGTAAGGGCAGTTCTAAAATCGAAACATGTGTTTCGCTTTACGAAACAGCATAACATCAAAGTTTCGAAAGTCATTTGAATAAAAATCAGCTTCTAGTTCGCTCCTATTTTGTTGCCTTTCGATTTTCCCTTTGTAGGCGAGTTCATTGTAGGAGAAAATATTAAAATATGGTAAGTTGAACCTGTGACTTCGTATTTTGTAGAGCTTACAATATGTTACGGACTATTATTACTATATTATGGGAAATTATATTATTAAGCATTTGTAATTTGTTTGTGTGAAATCCCGTTTCCCTCTCGTGGGGCATGGGGCGAACACAGTTCTGTGTCCTTTCACTGATCCGTTCTTTAACAGGCAAGTAGTTGATTAGACTTCTGTGTCGTGCCCGCCGAGATATTTTTTGTTACCCTGGGATTAAAACCCAGAACCTCTCGCACGTAACGCAATGCGTAGCGTAACGTAGGCAACACGTTTAACCATTTGGATACAGTGGCGGTCTACTAGATACTCTGCAAAGTATTTTAAATCTGTATTAATAAAAAATATAAACTATGTATCTTCCAATTACTTCAATGTTTCATGAACACATTGGCGAGTGTAACTAGAACTGTCGTTATATTTTACTGAGTGCAATTTTTACTTACTTTTAATTTCACAGTCGTTATTAAAGCAACGCTTAAACTAAATTGCATTAAACCCAGTAACATTGAAAACTGCAAACAAAACTGAAAGTGGCCAATTACATTTTCTAAAGCACACGAATGCATCGAACAAAAGCCTAAACAAAATGCAGTAATGCCTTCTAAGAACGAGCGTATTTATACTTGTAGTTGAAGTTGGAATATAAATTCTGTATATAAAATGGAAAATCGTTAAATAAAAGCAGCGTAATTTTCAATGAAAAGTTTCTGGAATCTTCATAACGAGGCTTTTCTCGTAGTACAAAATGTCGTTCAATCTTTAATTAAAACTTTTGTTTCCTTCGATGGATAAGTAATTGGGACAAAGAAAAATGTATTTCAAAGTATATGTATACAAAAGCATGTCTAATTCTATATCTAATAGATTATTCTCAATACTGTAACGTTCCAATTAATTCCTTCTCTGTGCACTGACGTACGATCATAAGGATGTGCTAGTTCAATCAACCTTTTGAAACCCTTTGTACAAATACTGTCTATAGTTTACGCGAGTAGTATACATTTAAATAAAACACTTTAACGGTTTAAAACGCGATATATTAGTTAAACTTATTTGGAAATGATTTTTTTTGAGTCTCCCCGTGACCACGGCTACGGCAAAGCATCCGAAACGTCGGGCCGAAGTTAAAAATCATTTCCAAATAATATTAACTGATGTATCGCGTTTTAAACCGTTAAAGTGTTTTATTTAAACCTTTTGTACATTTATACCAATAAATACAATGATATTATTGTATTTTATACTGAACATGATAGCTTACATAGTTAGTAAATATTAAATTCATGAGAATTGATTTTATCCGTATGAAGGTAGATCTCTTTGTAATAAACATGTTTAACTTTTAATAAACGCGCACCTTACTTCTAGTAGCATTCAGTTATTATTAGAGATTATAAGTTTTAACGAGTTCTCAGAACGACAAGTGCGAACTTCGATGTTTAGAAAACAACAACGTTGCCATTTAAAAATTTTCCTTCGTTGGAAACAAAAGATAACTTGTTCCAAACTTCACGTTATGTGCCATTTTTAATCCCTTAATTAAAAGTTTCATCCCTGTAAAAACTCCGGCGCCGCGGGCCATTTCCATTTTATTCCATATTTCCACGGAATGTAACTGAAAGTTAATTGGCCCAACTCGACTCGAAGTTGAAATTTGTTTTGCCTTTAACATTTGCTTATTAAACAACTCCATTTCAAGTTACGTTATTGCTATAACAATCGAGTATTTGATTCATATCAGGAAATTGTTTACTTTAATATATATAAGGAATACTGCCTTTTTTACCTCTAAAAAACGTTATTTTTCATAATTAATGTAGATTAGTTTTAGATAGATGTAAGAAGGAAACATGACAATAAAATACACTTTATAAGAGTTCCTTAAAAATTCATTGCAAATAAAATTAGAAGTATATTTGATCAAAGCTTCTTTGTATCTTCATAAAATATTATTTAAGTAATATATTAATATAGAGTTTACAGTACGTCAACACCGTTACGTACGATTGAAATTTGTATCTATGTAAATATTAGTTTTATTTGTTAGAACTTTATCTATATATGTAGATAAAACGAAATACTAAATACTGTCTATAGTTTACGCGAGTAGTACACATTTAAATAAAACACTTTACGGTTTAAAACGCGATATATAAGTTAGACTTATTTGATAATAATCTTTAACTTCGGCCCGACGTTTCGGTTCGTTTCGGTTTCGTTGTCTCCCCGTGACCACGACTGCTGCAAAGCATCCGAAACGTCGGGCCGAAGTTAAAAATCATTTTCAAATAAGTTTAACTAATCTATCGTGTTTTAAACCGTTAAAGTGTTTAATTTGAAACTAAATACTGTCTGTTCCCCGTGACCATAGATGTTGCATAGCATCCGAAACGTCGGGCCATTGTTAAATAAATTTAAATAAGGTTAACTAACATATATCGCCTTTTAAACAGTTAGTGTTTTATTTAAATATATATAAAACTTCTTGTCTTACCAGGTTGTAGAAGAACCGGTCTAGATAGAGCCACTCCAGCCTTGTTTGAAGCTCTGCATCGTAGAATGGCACTATTCCCTCCACCACCGGCATCAACCATTGATCGACGAGCCCCTACCACCAACCGACCATCACTCAGCACATGCCTGTTCAAATACATTAAATTAATTAATTATTTTTCAAATGGTGTGTTGTCCTTAGTTCATAAAGCATAGGGCAGACATATTTTTGCGTCCGTCTTCATAGTCAATTAAATAAAAGGAAAGCAAATACCTTTAACAAAATATTTCGATATTTTGTTAAAGTTATTTACAAAATATTTTAACTACAGCTTGACGTTTCAGATGATAACTAATATTATTCGCGTTTTAAACCGTTAAAGTATTTTATTTAAATAAGATAGTATATGATCAGCGTTCTTGCTTGCATTATTTTGGTATGTTTAAATGGAATTTGAACTAGTAAAGTCTGATTATCATATACAATATATTTGTAAAGAAAAATATTAAATATAGAGTTCTTCATTGCCCTAAGATTCATGTCTTACTATTTCTAAACACATTATACGACTATAATTTCTAGTCCAAACCGTCTTATCATTTCCGGAGTACCGCAAACTTGTGCAAACAAAATATTTATTTAATGTTCGCCATAGCTATCAAAATACTTGAAAGTTGACGTTATTCAGCCAATACAAGAATAACAATGGCTTCATAACGACATAACTTTAACAATTAAGGGCCAACGAAGATCGGTAGTACATTATCGATGGAAGAAAAGTTTTTAATGGGTACTTCTTTCAATTTCTATTCCATGTTTACGCAACAATTCTCTTTTAGCCAATCCCTTAAGAAGTGCCAACATTGACAAAATTTTGAATGTTCCCTAAATTTTGTCAATGTTGGCAACAGTTGATATATTCTATATCTATTATGTAAGTTTTAAAAGTCTAACTGTATTATATCAAACTAAAAGGCATTATTTCGATTCAATTTCCTTTAAAAACTGTTATTGTATCTTTAGACCATCGATTTTTACTGCGGGGTTTAAGTCCCGGTTCAGACGAATTGTTATTTGTTTTTTGAAAAATAAAAAAAATCTATTATAACTACTTTGAGGCGCAAGGTTCGGTGTAGGAGGTAAAAGCTGATAAGGGCCCTCAGTGCCAATGCTATTAACAATTTTTTTTGGCGGCAATTATTAAAGACTGCCAACTTGTAGCGTGGTGGACGAAAGTACACCGATCAGCAAAAAGATTTATACAATATTATGTTTCGTTAAGATTATTATCAAATTTCCTAGATTACGAGTAGATAAACGGATTATATTTACAATTTTGACAGCTAACATTTGCTTAGTAAGATGTTACATAAAATATTTCAAAATTAAGTTCCATGTTTTTTTTTATGCAAACATTAGTTAACAAAAAACTTATTAATTCGTAATAAGGTATTTTCTTAAACACTTGACATTTAAGCAACACTTAAATATATTAAAAACTTATTAATAGTACATAATTTGAAATTGTCTGTTCTCATATATTACACATTTAACAAAACCATTTTATTGTATTTGCTGCGTTAAGTCGTAGCTTATCTAGGATTACATTAATGCAGTTAAGGTTTTTCTCGCGACTAAATGTTATTCGTTTTGTTGCAGTTACTAGTGTATTCTAAGAACGGATTATTTATGGTGCTTCAGGGCAATGTCCTCACCAACCGATATAGCTTTTTTCTATTCACTTCGCTCATATCTATTACGACTGTTCATTTGTTTTACCCGGCTTATGTAAGTATAAAGTTACATAGTTTGTTAGTAATGATAAAAAACAATTAATTGGGAAACCAGGTCATTTGGTTGCATGGCATTACATTTTATTTAAAATTAAAAGAAACAATATGTTGATTATCACTTTATAAAAAATCATCGGTGCGATTAATAGGAACAAAGAAACAGTGAGAAATGTGGAAAAATGTGCTGTGAAAAAGGTTCAGGATACCTTTAAAAAAATATGTAAAATATAATGATTCCTTATTAAGTGATCTAAAAATATGTATATGTTATATCTGTTATATTTTGGGATTGATTATAAAGATGAGGAGAAGGTTTGAAAAAACAAATTTTTATTCTCAAAACAACTATTCTACGAATTTGCTGGCATATCTAATGATTTCTAGAATTAGAAAATTGTGTTTACTCATTCGAGAAATACCAACGAAGTTGCTAATTTCTACTGAAAATTACGTACGAAAATTGAGCCAAGGAGTTACCGGAATGCAAAGTTATATCCCGAACTCAAGCATCATTAGTCAGGGCATTCTTAATTAAGTCAATTTAAAGTGAGTTCTCACCGAAGTGTCCAACTTTAGCTTACCTTGGCAAAAGTCAACAGTGCTCTGGTGGAGCCGAATCGACTACGACGTAACTTTATCCGCAACTTGCGCAACCAATTTTAAACTTTGACGCTATAGATATTAAGTTCAATTGACATTGCACTAAAATGTATCATATATTTTCATACTGGCTTCAATTCTGAGGTTACAACGAACGCCATGTGTTTGGTCTAGATCTTACTTAATTTAAAAATCGAAAATAAATGAAAAAATTTTACTCGGGGGGAGAACGGGAAATTAGCTACCGATCCGACTCCAGAGAAAAAAAGGGGGAAAAAAAGAAGGGAAAAGGGAAGGGGGGGGGGCAAAGCCCCCCCCGAAGGAGAATTAATTTTCGATTTTTAAATTATATAGTCCTTCATGTGCAATAACCTGAAATATTTTTCACTTAGATCTATATTAAAGTTGAGATAGTGGATTTTCTTTGCTTGAATATTTTTTTATGGAATACAGAGTTAAATTGTCGTAACGTAAAATTCTATAAAATCTGGTGTGATTCCTACGGAAAGACTATCTTAAAATCTAAATAATTATATATAATTTTGAACAATGAATAAAACTTAATGTTTACGGTAAATAAAATAAATAATGACACTATTTAATAAATCGATGAAAGTTATAACGATACCCACAACTGACAAACGTATAATTTCCTTTTATTCTTCAATTTCTATTGGAGCAAATTCAGCAAAAAGGATTTAATTTCGCAGTTCCATAAACTGTCTGTCATGCACTTGGAAAAGGCATCTTCACGTAGTTTTGCAATTTGTCTCTGTGCTCGTTCCATAAGTCATATGTCAACATAATCATTTATATCATGCACTGGGAAATCGTTTATTTTTGGCAGACAAATATGATACATATAAAATGTAGGTGTATATTCGAGAACTCTTCATCTCTACGAATGAGATAAATTATTATTTCATTAAAACCATTCGTCTTCTATTCAATGTACGGTTTATCACGTAAAAAATGTATGTGTTTATAAAACTGTTAATTGTGTAAACATTTTTTCCATTGTTAAGTTTGGCTTTCTCTCTATCTCCTGTTGATGTTATGAAACTTATAAACATTATATTTTCAAAACATTCTGATTGTTGCTCCTGCATACAAGGTCAGTTACATAAAGATGCCCGGCAACCTTAATAAAGTGTTATTAATATTCGTCTCAAAGCTCTATATTTAACAACGCCATCAAGAACTCAGACATTAACAGGAAAATAAATAGTCCCAATACGAACAGTACTCACTAACAAAGCGATAAAGTTACAAGCTCAGCCATAATGGCAAATTGTGAGGCGGAATGTCGTTTCATTCAATATCGCGCCTTTCCAAACAAGCGTCGAAAGTTTCTCACGTACGGTCGCACCGTAGCGACGTCAACGTAAGCGAACTTTGCGAATATACTGCGATAAGTTACGGACTTATTTATCACCATCTTTTGATTAAAATATTTATACTGTGCCACTGTCAAAAATTTCTGTTGCACAGTAGAGTACTGCTTCACAACGACATCGTGAATTGTATGAAATTTGAGAAATAACTTCGCTTTCTACTGGCTAGGAAATTATCCAGATACCGAAATAAAATTTCGATCAACCAGTATTAGAACCCGGGACCTCATATTAAAAAGACGAATACGCCAGCGACTAGGTCATTGAGACAGTTGGTAAAAGAGGTTAGTAAGGAAATCAAATCAAATTGTCCTTGAGTGTGTTTTTTGTTCTACTTGCAAATATCGCTATGTACAAGGTTAGTACACATCGTATATATTAATTTAAAATTGAATAAGTCTTTAAATCAAGTATCATAAAAAAATTCAGCGGTGACAATAATTTGTGATTAAATGCTGCAGCTATTAAAACTTGCTGCACTAATGCTTGGTAATTATAAAATGGTTAACAATAAACAAAGAAATAATAAGTATTTACTAAGTCATCTAATTAAATTCCTTCTTAATGACTAAAGCTTTTATGTTTACCAACTCAATCCATTCGTCTTTCACCGATGACAGACAATATACCGCCTCCATGATACGACGAAGAGAACAAGCGAAGCATCCTTTAATTGAAGCTTCATATGTATATTGAGAAAGTTTTGAAGCCGACACACGTTCGGACACGTCCTTCTAACTTCCCCTAACCCTGGATTGGAAATTGGAAACTAGCCCAATTTATTAGCTGTATTAGGGATGTCACTTTTCAACGATCTGATATTACTTAAATTTGTAGTTAATGTCTTTTATAACAACCATTCTAATATTATTAAAATAATTAAGGACATAAAGAGTATTTATTAATTGTCACTCAATATTTAAAAATGTATGTATTTAAGTATACACTAAAAAAAAAATGTCGCAAGCGAGTATTAAACCCACAATTAACCGTACTGTACTCGATTTGTGCCAAATCGAGTACGTGTTAGCTCTCAATTTTGTACTGTCATGTGAACGTGTTAGTAAAACACTTTTAGCGGTTTGAAAGGCGAATTGTATAACTTATTTACAAAATATTTTACCTACGGCTTGACGTTTTGGATGCTTTGCAACAGACGTGGTCATGGTGGGACATAAGATGGGGGATGTCCCTAATGTTAAAGTAAATACTGCTACGCTAACGCCATCTGTCGTATTAGGTATTTGGCAATAGTGAAAACAGCGTTCTCTCGTTTAAGGGTATACTGCTTTTTGGGATCTAAGGTTTTTAATGTGGGATCCCAAGTCTAATAAAAGTGATAAGTGGACCTTATTTTTTTCTTCATTAATTGTCAAGTGAGTTTTATTAACTCACTCGACAATCGAGATGGTGTAGCACGTGTCTAGTGATATAGTTCGTTTAAATTTGGTATTCGAACATCCTTGAAAAGTTCAGACCATATTCACAAATAATTATATTTCCAAATTTGGCCTATTCCCTAAATATCACTCTTGACAACCCTATTTGGATAAGGAGTCGAATTAGTTGACGCATATCGTCTGCGATTAGATGGAAACTTTGATAAATAACCTTTGGAATAAGTTCTGAACGTCGTTCGAAAGTGACAAAGTACAAGTTTGTAAGTGCTTTACGTCCTAATAAGTTGAAAGGGCTTGTTGTCGCTTCGGTTATTCGAAATTGAATATATATTTCCATTCGATACTTAACTAACTCTACTACTAATAAAGGTAACAAAACTACTATCGATACTAATCGCAGCTAAATATATTTTTTTAGTTCAAACACGTTTATTGGAATAAAATACGAAATATGTTACTTGGCAAGTGCTTAAGTTTAAATAAGCATTTTATAAACCGAATTGTTTTATTTAAATGTATAAAGTACAAAAAATAGTAAAGTTAAAGAGAGTCCATTTTTAAAGCCTACTCGTGGTGATGAAACTAGAGCAGTTTTCTAAGCGTGCTTTTCGGTTAAAATAGTTTGGAAACTTTTAAACAAACAAAACATCTGTACTCTATCCTCCAACATGTCAATTTAATAAAATCTTACTTCAACTGCCCTATATATATTTATCTAATGATTATGAATGGATTTGACGAGCTCGTTGGTTTAATGCTAGTAATGTATTGCTAATGATAATCCAGGGTGTCCAACTTTTTCTTTAATTTAATTTATAATTTTTCAATAACATGTCGTGACTTGAAGTGTGAATATTAAATTTGTTGGATTAAAATACATAATCGTCACATAAATTATATTAAGTTATAGTTTTAGATTAAGCTTTTATTATGTATTTAGTTGGTAAGCCTCTTTTAAATAAATAAATAAACAAAAATCTATAGTTTGTACTGCCCAAGAATAGTTTTAATGTTGAAAGATCCATGACAATTTACTTTGTCACTAAGTATACCTTTTTATATTATATGAAAAAGGATCTATAATATTATTAATTCAACAAATTTGGTGATAGGAATATTGAAATTCAATCAACAAATGCAAAAGCCGGGAAATTTAATCGCGGCTCGTATTTCATATAATTTGTAAATATATGTAAATAAACGAAGAACAATTTTAACGTCGGCTTCGAAGCTTCGCCAAGAATAAGTTTTCCGACTAACTTCCGTCAATGTCGCTAGTGGTCAATTAGATTTTAGAACTTCTGTTTGCCAAAGTGGATAATTTCTTTCATTCCACTTGCAATTGTGACCACCACTTCAACTTCCTAAGTCTCTAGTGTTTCATTTGAATACTTTATAGATTTAGAGAAGTCTCTAATAAATTGTACACTTATCGTAAATATGTTATCGTTATATTCATTTCTACATAAGATGTGCTATCGACCTATTTTGGCTTTAGGTATGTGGAAATACAGACTGAAACCGAAACGCGATTAAACTTTACAGCTTTTTCAACGTTAAAAATGGCAGACAAATGTGATGTTCCCTTGAAAGTACAAGAGCCTGAACTATTTCACATCCAATGAGGATTGCTGTTAACCTATTTTCTGCTCTTGCGTATTTGAAATTCCACAGACTGAAGACGAAACGAGTATTTTCACTCTTCGCGGCTTTTCTATCAAACAGTTGCGATTTGTACTGGGAATTACGGCTTTTTATAAAAACGGTGTTTTATGTTTCGACGAAATGCTAATATTACTACAATATGAGTTTTTTGTCGGACTCTTTAAGCTGGGGGATATTAAAAATTGATGCATTTAGGTTTGATCAAAGTATATTATACGTACTGTGTGTAGTTGACGAGTACGTACGTAAGTGTAGTTTTCACGAGTAGCACCTGCACACTTAAATTCGCGTTCTAAACCGTTAAAAGTGTTTTATTCAACAAGATACAAATTGTTAAATGTTTTCTTTACTTATTATATTTGCATAATACGATTATCAGCGATATTTCGACAGACACTCGTCAGACAATGGAATCGAAAATGTCAAAATTTTTAATATCTAACAAACTAGATCAATAAAGCATTTTTTTAGGATAACATAATTGGTGATGCATTTTTTATCAAAGAAACACCTTGTTCTTTTGTCTCCTTATTACTAATAATGAAAATTATTAAAATATAATAAACACGAAAAACGTGTTCAGAATGAATTTTGCCCGAACAGCACAGTAGATGTGGAGAATATTATAAGTGTAGAGTAGGGAAGAAATATTACAAGGAATCCAACATATCCCAACCTAATTATTGAAGACAAATTAAACTGAGAACTTCTCATCTATAACTCCTTTCAAAGATACGATCCTACAGTTGTAAACTCTACCTATCTAACTTGCTGCGTTTGTTGGATATTTGCTTAGTGCAGTCAAAGTCCTTTACCTTCAACAAAATAAATATGGTTCTTGTCTCGTCACTTTGCAGTTTGATACAATAAGTTATATGTGATTAACCAGATTTACGATATGCGCAAACAAACATACAGAAAACGGAAAAGTTATTTCCCAATATTGTAAGCCAATATAGATTGACAGCGCACCTTGTTTAATTGTATAGCTATGGAAGGTGTAATATATATATATATATTACACCTTCCATCAAATGATCACCATGTTAATCTGTGTACCTCTAAAAATAAAAAGTGTACATCTTATACAACAATAATCTAAAACAATAACTTTTTATATAAAGAGATTTTCATATTACTCATAGTGGTAAAAAATGTATGAATACCAATTATTATCATTTTGTAAGTAGTTTATTATACTTGAAAGGTTTCGTGAACAAAACACTAATGATTTGATAGAGGTGATATAATTATTATCAGTTTTATAATTTTTTTAGTAAATAGATTGTAAAGCCTAATCTCTGCTTCGTTCGCTTGTTTAAGTTTTTTCGTTATTATATAGATATTACTATACTTTTTGATGGCCTCGTTGGTCTAAGGTTTGATTCATTAAAATCAACGGCTCGTGGGTCTGATTCCACCAAATCCAACATTTTTCTAAGGAATTTATAAAATTTCTGAAACATCTGTCTGGAAACCTGGATATTAAATCGGTGGTAAGCGTATCGAAATTCCGTCTGGGTCGCGAACTACCATTTACAAATCCGTGATTAATCGCGTTACGGCTTCAATCTGTGGATTTCTGTATATGCCAATCCAAAAGGCCGACAGTGTATCTAGTTTAGATATATGTATATACGACTGGAGTATTACCTTCCTTCAAGGAAAGTTTGTCCTCCTCTCACATAAAAAAAACAATACAACGCTAAATCTTGCCCAATTTTTATTAAATAATGACTAAGTTTACTAAATATTCAACAAACTATTTTGCGCGCGAAATATAGAATTGAAATAACTCACCTCAATCCTGGTATAGTGGTGATGACCTGCCCTTCAGCCGTCACCCAGTGTATATCAGGTGGGGGATGCCCTGTAGCCCTGCATACCGCGTGAGCGCCCCTCGTGGCAGGCCACAACACCCGAGGGGGCGGTTCTGTGGTAAAATGTGGCCGTTTGTCGGTACTTGCGGCTAACCGTATCGCTAATGTTACCACAATTACCCATTGGATTTGGCCTGGAACAACAGTTTATTGTTAAAATACTATAACATCACACCCCTTTTCTATAGAAATACCTAATTACATAATATGAATAGATATACAATATATTAGGCTAAAGAGTTTGTTTGTTTGTGTTGCCTGATGTTTAGGCTGAGACCAATAGGGGCGCGGAACTAAGATGGTAAGATGGTCATGGTGGTTTAAATAATGTAAAAAATATAGATGGCCAATAAATAATGTTCAAATAAAACACTTTATCGGTTTAAAACGCCATATATTTGACTTAAACTTGTTTGAAAATTATTTTTAACTACGGCCCGACGTTTCGGATGCTTTGCAGCAGCCGTGGTGGACCATGGCTGCTAAAATATATCGCGTTTTAAACCGTTAAAGTCTTTTCTTTAAATGTGTACTACTTGCGTAATTATTAGTGTTTAAATGTGTGATACAGGATATTTTTTTAATCATGTATACTATTTATATTTAATTTATATAAGATTTTGATTTACAGATAAAAGAAATATTATATATTTTCGTTGTAAAAAAAACTGCAAAAATATAGGAAAAATCTTATACCAAACCATAGGTTTTATGTTCATTCATTAATCAATCTGAAATGACGCCATAATTCAGACTCACTAACGCGGCTCGGAAACTGAGCAGGGAAAAAACTGCAACGTAGACATTTTTCAAATTTTTACGATGTTGCACTCAGCTTTAAAAGGTTTTCAACGCTTCGACGAGGCCTACATTTAAATAATTCACGTAAGGTCAGTAAAATTATTATTATTACATGACTATGTAATGTTAACATTTTAGAAATATTTGGAACAGTAAAGAACTTATTTAAGAGCATAGGAAACAACAGAAGAATCACAGTAATGCATCAAATTAAAAAATAAATGTAGAGATATTTTCTCAAATAGTGTCACAGATAAAAAATTACAGCCGAAGGTATATTTTGTTAATTTTCGATTGAAGCATTAAATTATATTACCTATGCCGTGATATTGCTTGAATATTTAATTAAAACGTTATTAAAGTTTATGCATGATTACAAAAATATGAATGTAAATTAAATAAACGCCTTGAAGACTTTTTATCCATTGCATCTACTAAAATAAATTGCCACAAAATTACTTACGACCATTTTAAATTACATTTAATTAAATTAAAAACTTTATCTTAAATTCCACTAACCAATCATTCCGTTATCACTGCACACAAACATTTTTATTTTTCACACGCACATCACGCATTTTATCACTGGCCAGTCCTAAATTGATTCGAAGTCATTTTATAATATCGGCATCTATCGCATAAAGTTTTTAATCTGTGGCGGGACGCGCGGCACGTCTGTTATGTGTAGATTTCCCGCGCGAACTGCCATCCCTAGTAGTCCTTGTTGGCGGCAAACGCCCTTATCCTGCCAGGATTCTGTTACAGCGTAGTTCAATTATATCTTTCTCTAGGCTAAGTACTCATATAATATCCTCATTTCATACATTCTCACGCTTTTATTCACGAAGTGGGCTAAGTAAGCTTTTTCTGTTGGAATTTCCAATTTCATTATTTTTCTACATTAAGCGTAATGCAGAGTAAGAGTTACCCTTTTAGAAAATAAATTAATGTATTTATTTAATTAACTTTTATTACGATTTTAGTATATAGATGTGAATAACAAACCTTACTCTAATTAAAAATTACCTAAAACAGTAATTGATTTTAATATTGGATTTCATAAATTCAAATCTATAACGAAGGATACCATAATACACCATTGGCAAAATCAAGAGCTTTCTAAAATGAAAACTGAAAAACTGCAGCATTACGGCTCAAAATTCTATTGTTCGAAAGGACGATAAAATCTATTTCCTTCAACAGAGACAAAGGACATTTTCAACGAAAGAATAGAAGCGGGGCTTATTTCAAAGTTTCATTCAGATGGCAACATTTAATTGCGTTGTGAAATGGGTGGTTGCATTGGAGTAGTTAGATGGGTACTTGCCTAACTCCTTTTTACTTAGGGCTAGGACATACAGTACTTCTAACTATCAATATATCGTTAAGTAATTTTCAAGGTTTATGAAGGCAATTAGCGAAATTGCCGTTCCATTTATGAAATGGTCGTCAATTATTAGAACATGGTATAGGCAAAACATTATTTTAAAATTGGCTAGCTGCCAGTCGAGTAGGTTTTAGACAAGCGGAAGTTATGAAAATATTTTATATTCTACGTTCCCTATCCAACAGTATTTTCGGCAAATGTTTTATAATAGTTTCGCGATAGTTGACATACTCGACTACCCAAATAATATATTATATACAACATAATGCGTAAAATAATATAGTTTTGGTATATATAACACATTTTCATAACGTTTAAAATCTCTTAACATCAATAAATATTAAAGGCATTGAATATCAAAAGTATGCAGTAACTTATCGAAAGACGCAATTTCATAGCTCAATTGGTTCAAGAGCACTTTTTACCTTTGGTTCTGGGTTCGGAAAATATATATATATATATATATATATATTGGATATCATAAAACGGATTTCAATTCTATCTGTCCCAACAACCACAATTACTAATGAGTAATTTGACATGAACAAAATGATTTTAAATTGTTATTTTCAGCGAGATCTTGATTAATTTAAGAATATTTTTAAACATTAAGTGGTTTGGGATTTGTTTTATTAAAATTTCAATTCACAAAAGTAATCGCAATTTATACTAAAATCTATTTTTGAAAGCGAAAGGAAATCGTTTGCCTAAATTTTATACCTAATCAATCAAACAGGCCTTCATTTCAGCAAGATGAAATCTCCGAGATCCTTTTCAATCTATTGGAAATTGAAAGACTAATTTTGCCTTAATTTTTTCTTTGAAAATTTATTTATTTTCTCTAGATTTTCCCACTACAGACAGTGTTTAATAAGACTATATCAAAGGCGATCTAATTAAATTCCTAACAACAAGATACGCTCAAATGCACATGTTTTAACACAAATTATTGTAAGATAATCCAGTTCTTGTCTAATAAGACCGAGAAGTTGCCAAATATTTTGTCACGATATCGCCTGGGTGGAACAAAGCTGGTAGCTAATGCAAATTGCACTAATACTAGAGTTGGCAGCGAACTCACATTTAATTCCACGGCCATTTTGCAGCGGGAACGAAAAAAACGACGCCTGTAATAAAAAGCTAGGATCTAACATCACTTTTCGGAGTTGTTCCAATGCTAGTACGACAAAATACTTTTAGTTTTACACTCGTTAAGTGTAAGGAATACTTTTAAGCACAATTTCCACGGGACTCACTTGATGATAGGTGGACTACCCTAGCCTTATGACATCTAAACGAGATGCTATCGACCTATAATGGCTTTTGATATTCGGAAATCTACAGACTGATATCGAATCGTTCACAGGTGGTTCGTGACCTAGACAGAACTTAAATATTCCTTTTAATTTACTACTATATTAAATGTACCCAGATATCCAGACGAAGTCCTTTATTGTTCAGAGAAGTTATAATGATTTAAAAATCGCAAATAAATTGAAAAAATTTTCGACTCGGACAGGACTTGAACCGGCATCGTCAGCTTTCCGTGCTGTTGCTCTACCAATTGAGCTACCGAGTCCTACACCTCATCGTCGAATTTTTTTAACTTGTTGATACATGCACCTCTCGCGCAACGTAATTTCAACCTTACTACTCTAGTGGTTCTAATATATTATTAATTGGAATTTATTTACGACGTTGAATAAAATCCAAAATTTCCATAAATCGATTCTAAATTTAAGAAAACATTAACATTACACAAAAGCATCTTCAGAAAATAACGACGACGTGGAAACTTGTGAAATAAACATGAGGCATTGTTTTATTCATTTATTTCACTTTTCGAGCCCACAGCTGCTCTCAAAGTAAGAAATAACGATTTGGAAGTTTGGCACGACTTGTGCATAAAAACTGCACTTACTGACAACGGGACTGCCGCTCAACAAACTTCGACGAGCTTACTTTACTTTGAAAAGTTCTGTATTCAAATATGTGTTTAATTTTTGCCAAAACGTCACAAGGTTGAAAATTGACAGTGTAGTTCTAAGCTATGCTAACGATAAAATAATCTATAAATAAAACACTTTAGCAGTAAAACGCGAAATATAGTAACGAAATAATGTTCAAATAACTTTAACGAATCAGTTTCGCGTTTTTTACCGTTACAGTGTTTGATTTAAAAGTTTCACCCTTAATTAGTATGTGTACGGTTTAAAAAGCGAAATGTATTAGTTAAACTGATATACAATTTCTTTTTAACCCACGCCACGACGTTTCGGATGTTTTGCAGCAGCCGAGGTCGAGTCGAGGGGGCTGAAGATCGAAGGTATCCCTAATATCCAAGTCCAATATCTTGTGTTCAAGTTGTGTTTTTTACCATTAAAAATTAAGTGTGCATAAATTAAAAACAGTACTTGATAAGCTTTATTATTAACTGGATTCCAACATCGATATTTCACTTGTTTTGTGCTAGCTCAACTAAGCAGAGTCCTATAACACGGCAGGGAACTGAGAGCTTAACAATGTATCGTCAGCCAAACTTCTTTCAATATGAGAACAGTTTACCAACTCTCCACGCAAGTTGCATTTGAATAACTTTAACAACTTTACCATTTAGGTATTCCCTGTAACTATTTCATGCTAATTTGATCACATAACAAATTCAACGGTTACCGGAAACGTTTTTAGAAGTAATTTCATTAGTTTAGTGTTTGTTTGTTTAAATAAAACACTTTAACGGTTTAAAACGCGATATATTAGTTAAACTTATTTAAAAATGGTTTTTAACTTCGACCCGACGTTTCGGATGCTTTGCAGCAGCCGTGGTCAGACTAAAGATGGAGGATGTCTCTGACGTCAAAGTAAAAAATTGCTACGCTAGCGCCATCTGTTCCGTCGAAGTTGGTATTTGGCGAAACTGGCCGGGTTCTTGCAGAATTGACTAACGGTGTATTCGCGTTTGCCGGTATGCTGTTTATTGGGATCCAGAGTTTTTATATGGGATCCCAGGTGTTTGATAATTTGAGGCCGTCCTCCCTATTGAAATTTCGGTGTTTTTTGATTTCAATCGCTTCGCGTACCAATCTTGGAAAAAAAATGTATTACATAAAAATTTCTTTCTTTCATCATTTATTTGCAAATGATCAAAATAAAGCATAAAATTCATGATTATAATAACACACAAAGCAAGTGTTATATGTAGGAACGTAATTAGAAGTTCCATTAGGTAGATCAGGTATTAGAAAAAATATTATTTGCCTTCTAGAACTAATACAAGGAAACTCTGAATTTTAAGCTAAAGATAAGTATTTTAGTTTCTCAGAACCGATACTTCTACAAAACAACGTGTGGCTGTACTCTCTGTTTACATTACTGTTAAACCTCTTTTGCATAGTTCTGGGTAAAACATAGCTCTATGATCTATGCTCTAGAAACGTAACAATATTAATTTTTAAAGATAACACAGGGTAAGACTTTGCTGCATTTGTATTTACGAGTGCCGAAAACTTAGAAAACTCAAATAGGTTAAAAGTATTTAAAACAACATCTAATCTAAACTAAGCAATAATAGAATATTATGTATCGTTTCATTAACTTACTGATCTGTAAAAGTCTAAACGGTTGCATTAATCTTTATGATGGTAACAATGCGACGGTTCGATCCCCAAAAGAGTCCAACATTTTTTTTAACAATTTACAGTTTTTCTGACTTCATCTGGAAGTCTAAATATTAAATTACCGTCCACAGTTGAAAATTCCGTGTAGTTTAATCGCGTTTCGGTTTTGGTCTGTGCATTTCCGAATATCCAAAGCCAAAATAGGACGACAGCGCATCTTGTTTAGATGTTATATGGCTGACGTATTTCACCTACCATCAAGTAAAGCTAATGCTCTCCTCCATAAAAAAATCAGGTTCTTTTTTTTTATCACTGTGAAACAGAAAGAACAAGCTGTTAAGTATGAAAAAAATAATGTTTAATTCAAATATTTATATGCTATACTGTATCGAACATGGAAAGTTATGGGCGACACTTCTTGGCAGCTATTGTCAGTTAGCGCCTGAATGTTGCAAACTTGTTTCTACTATGTAGTGCAATAATATGTGTAGAGACGGAGCATTTAATTTATTGTAGCTCTTC